TGGCTGGTCAAATGAGCAATTGGCGGAGTCGGAACAAGTTTAGTACAGATGGCTGAATTTTTGAAATACCTTTCAGTCGGCACAACCCTTGTGGAGACTTCAATCTCCACACCTTTACAGTTTGCGTAGCCCCGGGAACCCCAAAACCTGCTTGAAAACCCGAAACAAAGAGGATACCACAACCCTGAACCCGAAACCACCAAGCCGAAACCTTGAAAGCTCTAAGCCCCTACTTACTGCCTTGTCAGAGCCTGGCACACGAGGATGGAGCGCTGTCGTGCAGTGCCTGCAGCTTTGGAAACCGCCGGACCACATTTGACCGAGCCTAGGCTTGCATGAGACTAGGATGAACCCACACAGGCCAGAGCCGTTTGCCCAAGATCATCTATAACCTGGAATCACCAGCCGAGATGGGGATTCTGTTAGAAGGTGCTTACAAAAGGACCATTGCGCAGTACACCTTCCTCACAAGATCTTTTCTGAATGTATTCTCGAGAAACGCTCGTACCCAAAGAGCAAAAAGCTGCGGCGAGGGCGTTTGGTTTAAAATCGAGGCCTCGCGACCTGAACCAGCACCTTCCTGAACCCTACACCCCTGAACCTTAAGCCCTAAACCTCCACATGAACCCCTCAACCCCTTAACCTCTCCTAAACCCTCAACCCTAAACCCCTAAACCCCTAAACCCTAAACCCCGAACCCCTAAACCCAAAACCCCTAAACCCTTAGACCCCGCAAGCCCTCCAAGCCCTCTGCAGGTTTACAGCGGCCACGACACAACACTGATGCCTCTGCTCAAGGCGGGAGTGGGGTGCTGGCTTGACGAGGGCCCTGGATAGGGCCTTGACAGGGAACTGCAAGGGATCTCAGAAGGGCTGACTTAGGGTTTGGAGGTGTTTCTGCCAGAACCCTGTAAGACCTTTTGCAAAGCCATATCTAGAGGCCTTATACATAGCCCTTTTGAGAACCCTTTGAAAGGAGACCTAACTTACCATTCTACGGAAGTTGCTAGCTCGCAAGGCTCTGGGCATTTGGGACGGTGCATGGCCGGGCTACGCCGCCGAGGCCATCGTCCCGGCGTGTGATTGGTGCATATTTATACTTCGTTTATGTAGGGACCAACCAGAAAGTGTTCGTTTATGTAGGGACCAACCAGAAAGTGTATAAGATTACTAACTAATCCCTCTCTCTCTCTCTCTCTCTATATATATACATATACATATACACATATATATATATATATATATCAGAGGTACCGGGGATCATTCCATATTCCAGCTGAGCGGCCTGAACCTTAGAGTAGCCTGTATTGTTCGCCTTCCCTGTCGACGAAAGATGAATTCAACCCACAGCGTCCAAGTGCGCATATCATGTATTTACTGTCGCTCTACCCAGGGGCCCCAAAGTAGTTCCTTTTTGGGTAGTATATTAGAGTCCCTAATCAAAAAAGGGGACACACCCAAAAGGAACTGCTTGGGGGCCCCTGGGTAAAGGTACTGTACACTCATGGAGTTGCGTGAGGAGCCTGCCAAGTACACATTACACGAACCTTAGCCGCGCTTCCCCAAACACGAACCGTAAAATACCTATATGGGAAACACACGGGCCAGAACAATTAGCAGCAGCATTTCTCAAGGTTCCCTGGTATTTGTCGTATCAACCTCAATCCACCCCACAGCAAATCACAGTTGTCTTGCACCCTACCCTAGTTGGGACCCTGAGGGAAAAGGGAGCTGTAGCAGTGATAACCCGCAGGCAAGGGGAGAGGTCTGGTCAAGGGTTTTTTCAGGGCTCCACGGGTACAGGGTTGACGGTGGTCGGAGTTAGGATTCTGGGTTGTGGCTCTGACAGAAAACCCGTTCATAAAAAACCCAAGAGAATTAATTATGGTTCTAAGAGGGGTATAGCGACCTGGAGCCGCAGACGCCACAGACCGTCAGCCAACCGCTTAGCGCCTTCTCTAGCCCTCCGAGACACAATATGGGTGTTTCCGAGAATTAGGGGTACCTTAGTTTGGGGGTCCTTATAATAAGCATCCTACTATTTAGGGTACTATATTGGGGTCCACCATTTTCGGAAACTCCCATATGGTTTTGCTTTGGGATCTCGTGCCTCTTGTTAGACATACCTGCTACGGTCGAAGACTGCTTCAACCTCAAAGCCCTAAACGCGAAAGCGGCGAAAGTTCTAAGCCCCTGAACCCCCAACTTAAAGATCTTCAACTTAGATCTCCAATACCTAACCTTCAAACTGTTTGGGTTCTTATAGTTCAGTAGGAATTCGGAAAGCTTGGCCTTTCATTTGTTTGTGTGGCTTATTGGGGTAGTAAGTTAATCCTGGGCAATACCCGGAAGGTTCGGCTGGAGCTTTGGCAGTTGCCGGAGGCGGACTTTGGTTTCGACATTCCAGTTGACTTGGTCCTAGGTAGTCGGGAGACGCCTCAAAGAGGACCCTTCCCTACTTCAGGCTCTCTTAAAAGGGACCTTATTGAAAGGGTCTCTATGTTCAAGGTCTCTGTCTTCAAGGGTATCCCTGATCCTAACTCGGACTGGATCAGGATGCCGGGTTTCTGTAATTGTCCTAGGCTGCTGTAAGGGTTTGTATAGAGTACCACAATTAGATGGGGTTTGTCATTTAGATTTGAGACTGCCAGGATACCACGTTTCTCTGTACACGATGACTTACTCGCAATGGGGTCCCTCATGTTGAAACCCTAAAACCTAAACCCTAAAAACTAGACCCTCAACCCTAAACCCCTACATCCCGACCAGGGATGCGGGGTCGGTCAGAATTCTGAACTACCTACAGTCTCCGTTGCAGCTCCTTTTCTGGTTTAACCAATCTTCTATAAGGTAAACCCTCAACCCTAAACCCTAAACCCTAAACCAAAAAGGAACTACAATGGAGACTGTAAGTAGAAGTTGAGCAGGGGCCGAAGAAAGTCAGATCTGCGTCTCCGGTGCACAACATGAAATGATGCTGCGATTCTGATGCTAGTGATGGTGAGTACGACAATATTGCTGTGATGGCTGACAAAGGCAACAACAACAATGCGTCCGATATAGATGACGGTCACAACAGGTCGCAACATCGCTGATTTTTCAGGACCATGAGGGATATCTATGCAGGGGCAGCGGAAGGGAGGTGGACGACGACCTCATTTGTGTTCGCTGGTGCTAGCGGCCGCCGGCCGTCAACTCTTTTGCTGAGACTCGGTTTCCCCCCACCCCCCCACCCCACCCCCATTTCTGTTTTCGCCAGGCTCGATGCAGTCCAAGACCCTAAACCCTGTAAATCCAAATCCCTACAGCTGTACGGATCGGCGGCAGGGCTACCGGGACGAATTCGCCGTCCGTGCCGTGATCGGGAGCCAGGTGTTGCCTTTACTCCCAGGGAAAAGCGAGGCCAGAAGCTGCTCCAAGATGTCGTGTTTAGGTTTAGTCTTGTCGGTTTGGCTTCATTTCGTGCTGTTTGAACCAGGAGCCCTAAATCCTCAACTTTTAAGCTTTTGGACATCGGGGTTGCGGCTTTAAGGTTTGGTTTTAGGGTCTTTCGGGTTGATGGCAAGGGGTTCCGGGTTGAAGGTGAAGTTCCTGGTCATTCGTTGCCCGGCGGCCAAGGGTTGAGGGACAAGGGTTCGTCTTGTTGTCATAGAATTCCGAGTTCACGCAAGGTTCAGCTTTATTTAGGGTCGCAGTATGTACACACGATGAATTCTAGAAGTCTCAAGCGGCTTCGATGGATCCATGCCAGGATGATGATGGCCTGAGCCTTTGCTGCTGCTTGACTGTTACAGTGGTTTGACGGGGGGCCAATTTCAGCGAGGACTCCAATGTTGCCAATGGAAGCTTTTTGGTTCCTGTCTGTCCTGGCTCCCCAAAATAAACCCTGATAAGCTTCAGTCGGCTGCCACAGAACTCAAGAACATTGTACGTACAGTGGCGGGGGTCCAAAACCCGCCTCGTTGCTGCAGATGTATGAAACATCTAAGCGGGTTTATGCACTCCTAACGTGTCAAAATGCCAGCCTTGTAATGCCACTGCTGTGCATATAGGCCCGGGTATCCCGGCCCGGTGATGCAGGATGCCTCAGCAAGCAGGCTGACTGCAGCTTCGCATACTGTTACGGTCTAGGGACTCTGGGATTTGGGTTTCGGGAACTGTTGCCGGAGTAGAGCCCTAAAGCCCTGGAGCCCCATACGAAGACGCGCTCTAAGGTTCTCTTGCTGCCTTCCACCTCTGCGCGAACGCGGTTGCCAGTGGTGTTGGCACTGTGCATCCGGTGCTCAAGCTTTCCTGAGACTCCAAGACAACATAAATGGATATTGCTGATCAGAATCGTTTTCTGGCTTAATATATATATATATATATATATATGTGTATTATATATATATATAGATAGATAGATATAGATTCTTATTATATATATATAAATACACACAGTTTTTGCATCTTTTGATCAAGGAGCCCTATGGAATAATTAGTGCCTCTACTTGTTCAGGCATTGAAATGACCGTAGTGAGTTCCCCATCTGCAGCCGTGAGCTTTGGCGGTGGGTGAAAAGATCGCCTGGGACTTCCTGGGGTTGCTTTGGCTGCGCGAGCCTTCGAGCCACAAGCCCTAATCTGAGTGGGGAATGTTTCAAACCCCGTATAACTCTGCTTCGTTGTGAGGGATATCGCGGGCGGGGCCAAGGTGCTAGGCTCAAGAAGGCTTAAGGGGCTCTGGATTACAAGTGGCTCAGGCGTTACAAGTTGTTCAGACGTCCAGGGTTTGGCGGGAAATGTGTGGTGGATGCATGCGTTGGCTCTTAAACAACCACCATAGCTCTGACGTCGGAATCTGACTGTGGCCATGGCTTGTTTTACCGAAGCTGCTGATGCTTTGGTCTGCTGATCGCCGTTTTTGCGCGGCTACACAAGCGAATGTGAGCATGTGGTGAGACTTGCATCGCGTCTCCTCACGAGATTTTCCGTGCTGCTTTGGCAGCGCTGATTTGAGCCATGCTGCACTTGGCCGAACGTGTGGGCTCATACGCAGCTTGCTCTGTTGTCAAACTCCAGTTGCGGAAGTTGGTGCTACAGGCCAGCGCTTTCAGCCACATCTTGGACTTGGAGGAGGGACCGAGCACAGCGGATGTGTTCGGCCATCCGCTTTGGAAGCTGTCTCCGTCTCGCCGTGGAACCGTGCTTCAAGACGTTACAAGGGCTGTCTTGCAACGGGCTTACCCAGACAGTCAGTTTCATGATCCTGTTCCAGGAAACTTCGATTCAGGTCGAGCCCGGCACTTGCAGCAAGCACAGTGGGATTGGACGATGGATGGCCGCAGGGTGGAGTGCAAGAGTGCTTCCCTTTCCTGGAGCAGGCAGAGGTGTCAATGGCGAGCGCTTTTTAGTGGTGTGAAGCTGGCTCATGATGGGTTCCGACAGCATGCCTTGTTTGACGACTTGCTGCTCGTATTGCTCTCCCCTGATTCCCTGGACATTGTGCAACACGATCTGCGAACCCGGGTATCTACCGCTGGCCACAGGACTGGACCCACTGGCTCTATCATTAAAATCACTGGGGCTCGTCGCCAGCCGTGCTGGAAGGAGGCTAGAAAGCAGATACTTGGCAAGCTGTGCGAAGGTCAAGGTTCATGCGTGCCTGTTGCACAGGTTCTCCTGTCAGACCCATGCATTCACTCGACGTTGCAGAAGCATCTTTCAAGATACCCTGCGATGGCCTGCAGTCACACGCCATTCGACAGCCTGCCTCTGAGTTTGTTGAGCCCCCCGATGCGCGGATTGCGCATCCAACAGATCGCCTTGGAAATCGATCAAATGCTGCATCCAGACGCCGACTTCTCCATCGTGTGTGAAGGAACCACTGCATCCGGCGCCAGACGTTCATCTCAGAACGCTTCAGTGGATTGGGTTCGCAACGAGACATCGGTTGAGGTCAAGCACGGAAAGCTGAATTTTGAATCCAAGCAAAAGCGCTGGAAATGCACCTTCAGGGCCATCAAATGCGCCTTCCCTGGAACACGCTCCCGGGACCTCTACGACGAGCTGTGGCTCGTAATGTACAGCTCGCTGGGGCTACATTTCATGAAACATCACGGCCAGCTTGGCTTATCAACGAACGGCGTGATGACTGAAGTCTCGGGGCATGTGCTGCAAGTGTATGGGCCGTCCAAGGAAGAGGACAGCAGGGCAGCTGCCCACGTGATATTAGCGAAGCTTTTGCACCGCGGATGCGTTTTACTGGCGACCGTCTGGTGGGACTCGAACATGTCTCACATATTTCCATCCGACTCGAGCTATCAACTGCGGCCCCAACCGGAAAGTCGGTAGAAGGATAAGCATAGACTTGGCATAGACAGGGTTGTAGATCGGTTTGCGGCTGCTTGCGATCGTATGAGGTACAGTATTTATATTGCTGGGTATTGCGATTGGCGGTGCAGTGCGGCTCGATACCAACCACACCAGTCACACCCCCTCCAGCCACACCGTCGTCAGCCACACCGCCTGCAGTCACACTGTCCGCAGTCACACTGCCTCCAGCATACCCTCTCCAGCCACACACTTCTCCACCCACACAGCAGCCACACCGCCGTCTCCATGTACAGTCTGCATTTATCGTACGATTGTTCCCCAGTGCCCTAGTCTCTCTGTGTGTGAGTATATATATATATATATGCATGTGCGTATGGCGTATGAGTATGTATGTATGCAACAGTCTGTCCTGAGTACTGAGGCCGCTTGCCGAAGCTAAGTGGGGAGGGTTCTGAAACCCAGTAGGGCTGCAAGGGATTAGGGAGGAAGAGAGATCGAGATGGCGGAATAATGAGACAAACAGCAATTTTGTCACTGTAGCATTGAAGTTGTGAGGTTTTGGTTCAGATTCTCCGTTCCTACCTGTTTCAATATGCGCTGTATGGAAATTCCCCACAGCAGACCCAAAACCCGTCGCTCTTCAAGCGCACGGGTGCGCACCAACAGTCTCAAGGTCGCAACAACCCGGTCGACAGCTGCGAGCACACGGCGGCGCATCAATCGGTTGTACAAGGTGCAGTTGGGTCTGCTCTCACGCTTTTGTCCTGATATTCTGTAGATGTAGACCTTCGGCAGTGGAGGATTCAAGTCCCACGAAGCCACGAGCTTCACCGGTTAGCTAAGGGCCTTAGTTTCGGGTTCGACTGCGGGTTGTTCTTGAACAGGGTCTGATGTGTTCTGGAGTCCGGTGCGAAGCTCCCGGACGCGGCTTCGAAGAGAAACGGTTGAAGGCCCTTGAGGGGCTCCCTGTGTGGACCTTGAACCCCCGTAGTTCCGGGGTTTATTTCAGCATGTCCAGCATGCACCGCCTCCCTGGAGGAAAAGGAGAGCGCACCCGAGACCACAAACAGCGAGGAGGACCAGATCGTTGACCCTAGGCCCTAAACTCCTAAACCCGATATTGTCCTCAGCTTTTGAACAGTGGTGATTAGTTCCTGTATTCGCTGCACTTTGCGGCAGGACATGAAGATTCAGAGTTTCAGTCCCTGCAGCATCTTGTTCGTAACGCATGTGCACCTTGGCTTGCTACTAACTGCCTGTTGTGACCAGTACTGTCAACTGTTGTCACCTATAGTCTCCATTGTAGTAGTTCCTTTTCATGGTTGACGAGTTTTATGGTTAGGATCCTATAATATAGTTTTTGGTTAACCAAAAAATCGAACTACAATGGAGACTAGAGGTACGGAGATAATGATCCTTTATCAGTTATCATCTTCGCCTCGGTGCATGATTTTTGGGACGCGCCCTAATGAGGGCTCTACGGTCCGCATCCAATCCAATCCAAGTCCCCCGACCCCCCAAGTGCGGCACTGTCAAGGTGCTGAACTTGAGGATTCAGTGTGGCCTTCAGCGTGCAGGTGTCGTTTGACCAACGTCCCCTCAAAACCTTCAACCCCTCAAAAGCAGAAAGTTCAGGAGAACCCTTCTCCTTAAGTCTAAACCCCCCAAAGTAGAAAGTTCCCCAAACCCTAAAGCCATGTAAGCCCTAACGCCTAAAGCCCTAAACCACATTCCCAAACCATAAACCCCTTAAATTTCAGGCTGTGGTACACGTTTTTACTTTCAGGTTTCTGGGTTCCTATTATAAAACAAGAAGCCCAAAAAACCCTAAACCCTAAACCCTAAACCCCTAAACCCTAAACCCTAAACCCCTAAACCCTAAACCCTAAAACCCTAAACCCTACAACCCTAAACCCTAAACCCTAAACCCCTAAACCCCTAAACCCTAAACCCTAAACCCCTAAACCCTAAACCCCTAAACCCTAAACCCTAAACCCCTAAACCCCTAAACCCTTACTGAACAGCCTAGACTTTCAACAGCAGAAAGTCCAGGAGAACTCTTCGGATCTGGAGGGCTGGGTGGAGGCGCGGCTGTCGGTTTAGGGTTTAGGGTTTTAGGGTTTAGGGTTTAGGGTTTAGGTTTCCAAGAGGGTCCATACCTGGACCCCAAAAGTATGTAGAATAATAGCCTTTTTTGGGGTTTTGGGCCATTATTTTACCTACTTTTGGGGGGTCTAGTTAAGTACCACTATTATGGAGTTAGGTCCCAAAAGACCCTTGTTCTGGCTTTTTGGATCTCATTCCATAATGGTAGTGTAGGAACCTGATTAAGGAACCCTAGCTCAATAAGCCCAAAACAGTAGGATCCATATTGAGGACCCTAATAAAGACCCAGGGTTACTTAATCAGGTTCCTACATAATTTTGATGGATCCTCTGGGTTTGGATTTGGGTCAAAGAGCCTCCAAGGGCGGAATTAAGGTTCAGGGTTTAGGGTTGAGGTAGTTGGGGTTTGGGGTTTAGGGAGTCCTGAAGGGATCCCTAATCCTACCCACCTTCCTCCCACCTTTTGCGGCCTCCAACTGGGGAGTTGTGGCTTAGAGTTTGTGGGTGCAGGCGTTTAGGAGCTTATAGGCTCTTGTCAGGTTTCGGTAGCTGAAGGATTTATAGGATTTTGTCAGGTTTCGGTAGCTGAAGGATTTATAGGGTTCGGGGTTTACGGTGGTCTTTAAAGATTTGCAGGGTTTGGGGGATTATAATATAGTGGTTTAGGAGTCTGAAGGTTTCGGGGTTTAGGGTCTAAGGTATAGGAATATGAACATTTAAGTGTGATTTCACGGAAACATATGCTTTTATGCCGTTATCAAGCCCCTACTGTAAACCTTCTATGTCGATCCTAAATGTCACATATAGGACCCTTACAAGAACCCATACCCCAAACCTAAAGCCTGAACTAAACACAGACCCGAAGAAGTGCACCTCAACCGAAACCCATAGTCTTCTTCGGTGCAAAGTGCAGGTAGGATGCCCAGTAGTACCATTACCTGGACCCTAAGGAACCTACCTTTTTTTAGGGTTCCCTAATATGATTTCTTTATATAAGTCCTGAGAAGGTAGGTTACGTGGGCTTAAGGTATTCCCTTTTTTGTAGTCCTAGATTTCTTATACAGTTCGCCAATACCAGAAAGGGAGCCCTTTGTATTTCTAGGCTACTGGGCATCCTAGTTTGATTAGATTGAATACTGAGAGACCGACTGTCCACAGCCTGTATATAGCTTGACATGGGGATTATAGGTTTAGGGCTTCGGGTTCGTTTAGGGTATACTATTCATTGTAGTTCCTGTTGTGGATAACTTGTTGGTATATGAAAGGACTCTAGCCATAAAGCTGATTGGCTGTCCGAAAAAAGGAGCTGTAATGCCGACGAAAGGAGGGGCGCCTGATAGAGATTCTTCTCTCATTTTCGATTTAGGGCCCTGTGAACCACCCAGTCTTTTGACACGAGCCCAAATAAGCAGCTAAGAGTACACTTTGGCAGTACGATCTTCAAAGCCGGGGGTGTGGGGTGCGCGGAGGGAGGAGGGGGTTCGGTGTCAATACGTGTTGTTTACGAGCTTTCCTTGATCCCTTGAAGTATCGAGGCATTCGTAGCGAAATTAAAGCGTCAGTTGGTATTCCCTGTACTCCAAGTCCCAGTTAACATCGTTTCACCTTGAGCCCCGCACACCAAATGCATGCCCAATTTTTTTCATAAAGTCTACTACGAGTTCCAAAGCCGGACATTGTTTCCCGAAGCCGTTGTAATGTTAGTTTCAAACAACATGGCTCCATGGAAATATCCCAAAACTACTAGAATCACAACTTCAAGCACACCCAATAAGACGGATCCGCTGCCCAAGTAATTTTGTAAACGTTCACAAAGTCGACTGCAAGTTCTAACGTTGGTTTTCCCCAGGCCGTGGAAATGTCAGTTTCAGACAGCAGGGTCTCATGGAAACAGCCCCTAGCTAGTCGGATCCCGCGCATAAATCGCGCCAATTCAACTGACTCCTGCTTTAACTCAGCCTTTTCCACATCGGGTAGGGTTCGTATTCGGGATGTCGGTGAGGGGAAGAGGGCTCCATGGGAATATGGGTGGGCCTGCCTGGTATGATACGAGTAAGTAGAACCCTTCATGCAATCCCTGTAATTCCAAAAAAGCTTTATTGAGTTGATAAAACACTGACAACACTTCATACTCCGCAGCCTGATAGGTATGACCCCGAGCTTAGAGTCCCCCGTTTTGCCGACAGCTCTCAGGCGCAAACGGCCCGGTCGTCTCGTCTAATGCAGCTCTTCGAGAAGGTCTGCCAGCTGGGGGTTTGGGAGGAATTGGGGTTGCTACACTTCACTTACCTTTGGCTAGTACTTGGAGGGTCGGGGGACTTAGTAATTGGTTATTTTAGGGACATATAAGTACCATAACCCCAGTTAGGGTCCCTTTTAGGGTACTTATAAGTCTACTTACTAACTACTTACTAAGTCCCCCGACCCCCCAAGTAGGGAATGGAAGAATGGTAGTACTAAAGTACTTATAATTGTACCCCATTCCTCCAATCCCTACTAACCAAAGGTAAGTTCATGTTGGGCTGAGGCTTAGTCTTTGCAAATGTACAGTAGAGCTAGTCGGGATTGCAAGATATAGGGTTCAGGGCGTGCGGATGTGAATCAAAGTTCCGGGTTGCTGTCAACCGTTGCTTTTCAATGCAGTCGCTGTATAGTATCCGGTTGACTGTCAGCCTTCCAGCCCTTTACAAACTGTTTGTTAATACGAATATAGTGTTGTAATGGACTGCTTCCCTCGTCTTCTGGCCTCTACTAAACCTTTGTATCATACGGTGTGCAAGTGTGAATATAACTACTTAATGTACATATGCATACATATGTATATATATATATATATACAAGTGTTTGTATAATGATTGATTTATGGGATTATACATATGTATACATATATATATATATATATATATATATACGGGGTATCTCTGCTCCAGGTGAGTTTGGTGTGTGGCTAAGGCCGTTTACCAGAAGACATTGTGGTTTGGCAAGGGACTACAGTGGCATTTCATGCTTGGAGCGGCCACAAACTACGTCCTTTCGCTTTCTGGTTCAGGGGATTCAGTTTCGGGCCGCGGGCAGCATAGTTGAGCGTTCACCAAATCTGAGCCGTTGTCTTAGTCGAGTTTCCTCGAACTTGCGCCATGCTTGCATGGACACGAGGCATGACTTGGCATGCAGCTGCCGTGTCCCACAGACTCCGTCATGCTAGCAGCCAGAACAGATCACCCGAGCCTCCAACCCTAATTACTCTCAGTTGGTTACAACCTTAAACTTAAATCCTCACAACCATAAGTTCTTCATTGAAATCTTATAGTCGAAACACGCCCGGGCTGTGACCAGCCGAGAACACGCCCTTGAGTTGAGGGTTTCAGATTTTTTCAGAGCTGGAAGCTTCGGGGGGGTTTGGGGGTTGGGGTTGGTTTCCAAAGCTTGGGTTTAGGGGTTTCGAGAATTGGGGGGAATTGAAGTTAGGGATATGGGCGTTCAGGCTTGAGAGTTGAAGATTCACTTTTCTTTTAGGGGTTTAGGGGTTTAGGGTTTAGGGTTTAGGGCTTAGGGGTTTAGGGGTTTAGGGTTTAGGGTTTAGGGGTTTAGGGGTTTAGGGTTTAGGGTTTAGGGTCTAGGGGTCAACAATGCCCACTAATTACCCATTACCCACCCAAAGGGTTCTACTGTAGGTATTGTTCTGGGATACTTTCCCATATCATAATAGTAAGGCCAAATATAGAAACCCTGCATTTTGCTATTTTCTACTATATATATATAGGTAGTTCCCCCAAAACAACGTTCCTTAGAAGGAGCATCGACGCATGAACGCAACCGCCGACAAATTGGCGGACCGGCGCCAGCTTATCGAGCGTGAGGTCGCGGACGGAGGATTTGGTGTTGGGCTAATTAGTTTTCAGGGTTTAAGGGTGATAGGGCTTTCGGATCTAGCTGGTCGTTTCTTGCTATTTAGTGTTGGGGACAGAGGTCAGGTCTTTAAGCCTTAAGGTCATTGCCGCCGATGGAGCATGGAGGCGGAGGACCAGGACGAACTCCTCCAAGGAAGAATCACCCGCCGCCGGACTTCACCCCTGCAAAAGACATCAAGTCTCAGAGCAGCAGCAGCAGCAGGTGACGTGGTCGGCGTTCCTGACAGCCTTGATGATCGAATACCGGCATTTCCTAGAAGACTTCCGCCGTCATCCTGGAAGCCCTTCAATCAGAGCGTCCAGGGAGTGAGCTGGGCCCAGCGCCCCAGCTCGTCGGACCAGCGCACCTGGCACTGGCACTGACTGAAGTTTCCGGGATTAGCCCTTGAGTGCTCTTGACGGCCTCCAGGACCGCGGCCCAAAGTGTCTGTTGTAGCTACAGGCGTCACGGTTTTGGATTTCGGGTTTTGGGTCTAAATCTATAGACGTCTAGGGTCTATAGGGTTTAGGATTTGTTCTCCCTTGCCTTCTTGTTTGGGCATGTAACATAGGCTCAACCTCGAAATTTCCGAAGGGGAGTTTTTTCCAAGGCTTCTGCAAACGTAAGGTCCTCCAACATTGGCATGGACGGGTCTCAAGTTTAATCAGAGCGTTTCCGGATTTGGGATATTGGGGCTTCTGTCTCAGGGGTTTAGAGCTGTTGTGAATCGTTCACTTCTTTCGTTCAAGGCTTCAGGACTTCTGGGTCCAGTGTTAGTTCTGCCATTTGTTCGTCTTAATTGTTTGAGTACGATTGTTATTATGCATTTATTTTTTAATATATTAACATTACTACCAATACGAAGACTAGCAAAATTGGCCTTCAGATGTGGCTCAGCACAGCGTTTATGGTGTAGCATCCCGAAGGATCTGGTCTTGGATTAAGGGTTTATAGGGTTGTACCCATCAACAATGCATGAGTGGGCTAATAGCAACAGTGTGTTTACCACTTACACACCGATCGACCTTCCTACCTACATCTGTCCCTTACCTACTTGCCAACGTACCTACCTACCTAACTACCTACCTGCCTCACTACCTGGCTGCTTACCTGTCTTTCTATCTATCGACAGAGCTAGATATTTGTTTGGATGTAAGTTATATGTGTATATGTATATGTGTATATATATATATATATATATATATGTATTTATGTACATATGGACTAGCTACGTGCATCCTTACATTCAGTGCTTGTCGCGAGTCCCGGTGCATTGACGCTCTGGAAGCTGCTGAGCACGAGCATCAACAAGGCACGAAGGGTTCAGGTTTAGGGTTCAGGGTTTAGGCTTCAGGGCTTAGGTTTAGGGTGCAGAGTTTAGGCTTTAGGGCTTAGGTTTAGGGTTTTGGGCTCAGGGTTTTGGGTTTAGGCTAGGGTTTGGGGTTCAGGGTTAGGGTTTAGGGATTTCGGGGGTTAGGCTTTAGGTTTAGGGCTCAGGGTAACTCGGGCCGCTGAGGGTTTCGTTTTTGTTGAGTTTTGTTTCCGCAGCAAAACTCGAGCCAATTGCCAAATGAGGTAAGTTTTGCATTCTCTTTTGGAACCCAATACCCCTTAATTAAGGAATATACCTTGCATCATATTAGGGATCCCATTATAATTTAAGGTATAGTCCTTAGTTAAAGGAGTAATGGGATTTCTGGGCCGGGTCACATCCGGAGTACCCGGCCAGATCGGCTTTCTCCTTTTGCTGTGCACTTCTGGCATAGACTCTGGTGTTGCTCGAAAGCCCTTGGTGAGGTGGAGTTCTTCAAAGCAAACTTCCAGAGCTTCAGTGCTTTCTGTTCGGACAGTTTCCTGCCACCGCGCTGTCATGGGCAGTTCTGCTGGAAGCATGTACAATCCCTAAACCCTAAACAATTGGGGTCAGCCTTACTACGCCTAAACCCTCAGCGGAAAACTCTGCGACCTCCGGCTTAATGCGCCTTATCATAGCAGCTTTGCGGTTTATCTTTTTGGGGACTTTCATTATTAAGTGACACGAGTCAACTCCAGTGTTTAGAAATACAACCATATAACACCCTGGCACAGCGTGTAAGAAACCAGGACACCGTGCCAAAAACATAACGAAAATGCTAAAAAACAAAAACGCACGTCAAGACACACACACACACAACACACATACACACACACACATATAGATATATATATATATATATACACACACACACACTCACACACACACACACAGACGCTCACACGCACGCAAATACGCACGCACAGAGAGAGAGAGAGAGAGAGAGAGAGAGAGAGAGAGAGACACCCACGCACGTATTGTGTAGGTCACTGGGCTCCAATAGTTCGGCACCCCAAACTCTAAACTAAAAGCCTTAAACCCTGAACCTCCGGACCTGGGGCCTTAAACCTTCAACCAGAGAAGTTCCAGGGCTGGACAAGCTCCATGAAGTCGTCGCTCAACTCTCCAGCCGCTGTCGCAAGGTAGGGTGCCGCGTTTGAGTCTGAGGGTTTGGGAGTGCCCAAAGTCTCAAAGTGCCTAATCATCAGAGGTTGCAACAAGGGATCTATAGTAGGGGTCCATAATTTAGGGGCCTTCAAAATTAGAATAGGGTTTTGGGGCCCATTCTACTATACAGAGTTCTGCAAGGGGCTGGTCGGTTTTATGCGGGTTGTAACGAGGGAGTGTCTGAGCCTGGAGGCTTCAGGCAGCTGCGAATGGGTAGTTGTCAATATTGTGGCCCCTTTTTGGGCACCCCAAATATTAGGTGCCGTATTCTTAACAAGGACCCAAAAAGGGACCATAATTTCGACAACCACCCGAATCGCATACATAGCGTCCTTCACAGCTGCAAGTATATACAGGATTCCTCATTTTCGATTCCCGGACCTGTCTTTATCCGCCATTGAACCCGCCTGCGGCCGGCAGATTTTATTGGCTGAATCTGTTATGGTACAATGTGTTCAAAGTCCGAAGGGTTGTCTTCTATGCATTGCACATATTTCGGTTTAGGGTGCAGGGTGCGTGTTGTTTTCCTCGTGTTTTCGGCTTCAACTTGTTACTGTGTGTTTACATGCTGCCGGAAAAGGCGACCGAACAGATTTGCGCAGAGTATTAACGATTCTCTGAAACTGCTAACCGCCCGTGTTCCTATAAATATAACACGTTGAAGAAACCTCCTTGCATAAGATGGCTTAGGAAAGGATCCATCTACACACCCACCTAGTAGGTGCTGGACTCTGGACCCTTGGGGCCTTGGGGGTTAGCTTGAATCCCAAATCATGAAGCCCTTTCTGGCCCCTAGACCCTGAACCCACATATCCCGGAGCCCCTGGACTGGAAGCCCTTCAGCCGAAAAACCTTCAAGTTTGCCTAGATCCGACAGTATACCCTATCGAACCCCTCATTTAAAAAGGAAGAGGCTTTCTGTAGAACCTCATAACACCTTCATGGAACGCTTCAAGCCTTCAGCCCTAAAAACCCTCTTGTCTAAACCCCTGAACTTCCTAAACCCCAAAACCCTAAACCCTTAAACCTCCAAACCCCTAATCCCTAAGCCCCCAATGCCAACCCCCTATAACTGTAATGCCTATAATCTCTAAGCAGATGAAAAAAAGCCTTACACCCCTAAACCCTAAACTCCCCACACCCCTAAACCCTAAAACCCTAAACCCCTAAACTGCTGAGAGCGCCGCTGACCATTTGCTCAGGCAGACGATGGGCCGCAGTACTTTTACATAGGGGACTCAGAGGCCCGGCTCTGCCCGGGGCTTCTTGGGTTTAGGGATGTTTTGGGGGCTTCCTTTAAGGGATCCTTTAAGGGATGTAGAGGGGCTGTAGGGTGGACTGGGATCTATAAGGGCTGCAGGGTGTTTTGGGGTTTGGGGGGCTTTGGATTTTAGCATTGAGGGTTTGGGTTTGGGGGTGTCGGGTTTAGTGGGTTAGGGCTTTGGGTTTAGTAGGGTTTTTGGGGTTTAGGGTTATGGGGTTTAGCGGTTGTTCAGCGTTTAGGGGTTTAGGGTTTAGGGGTGTAGGGTTTCGGGTATCCTATTGTTTTGGGGTAGGTATAATCCTACATCAGGACCTACTATTCGGTAGGGTTGTCGGGTGACGGGTCTGAATGTTGCATTACAGGTTTATGGCGTCTGAGTTTTGTGGCGAGGTTTTATTCATCGCTTCGGTGCCGCTTCAGGATTTCTTGGACAAGGTTCTGGGGCTTTAGGATTTAGTCAAGTTGAGGCTAACGGTTTAGGGCTCTGGTGTTTAGGGAAAGCCAATGGTTTTTCAAAAAACTTAATTGAAACTAAAGTCGGGCACACAATCGAAAGCATGGTGACCTATATGCTTTATTTGTTCTGATAACCTAAGGCTGTTGTCCTTGTCTTGGTAGCAGCCCGAAGCCGATTCGCTAAACCCTAAAGACCCAGAGACTCCAATATCCCTTAATTAAGGAATATACCTTAAATCATAACAGGGTCCCTAATATGATTTAAGGAATATTCTTTAATTAAGGGATATTGGAGTCTCTGGGGACAAAACTCTAGAACCCTAATCCCTCCAGAAAAGCTCCGAACAATGTAGCGATGCAGTCCTTATACAAGGGCCTGAGTAATTACCCATACCATTCCGGGTGGTTCCTTATCATAATTATAGTGTAATATACCCCAGAACCCTATTCTAATTATTAAGGCCCCTATAGTAGGCCTAAACCCTAAACCCCAAACCCTAAATCCTAAACCCTAAACCCTAAGCCCTAAACCTTGAATCCTAAACCCTAAACCCTAAATCCTAAACCCTAAACCCCAAACCCTAAATCCTAAACCCTAAAACCTAAACCCTAAATCGTGACCAGGTTGAGACCCAGGCAGTGTCTCCATCTAGTACGGCTGGCCGCTTCGCTGCATTCTGCGGGATTGGGCTGAGGTCCGCTTAAGCCCCAAACCCCTAAACCCCCTAAGCCCGAAACCCTAAACGCCTAAACCCCAAACCCCTAAACCCTAAACCCCTTTAGCCCGAAACCCTAAACGCCTAAACCCCAAACCCCTAAACCCTAAACCCCTTTAGCCCGAAACCCTAAACGCCTAAACCCCAAACCCCTAAACCCTAAACCCCTAAACCCTAAAACCCCTAAACCCCTAAGCCCCTAAACCCCTAAACCTGAAGACGGTAAGGTTTCTCAGTTATTAGGGTTTAGGGGCTTCGCACTTAGATTCAGATACTCTGTGTACTTTCCGGGTGTGGTGTTTTTGAGCTCCAGGAGCCTCAGAAGAAGAGTTACCCGCAAAAGGGTGCCGGGGTTTTAGGGGGTTGTACTATCGTTGCCATGGGGTAGTTGACAAGGGCCGTGGTGCATACTGTCCGAGTACATGGGTAAAGGAGTTCAGCAGCTTTTGGGGTTTCGCGCGACGGTTGTGTCCAGTGTGGTGTAGCATTTGGGTTTAGGTTGTGGGAGGATTCAACTTGTCTTTATGTCGATCCGAACTTGACCCCGCAGATTTGCCAACTTCTTTCCGAGATATTGGCCGACGGCTGCCACAACGAAAAGACTTTTGCAAAGGCTGACGTTATATGAGCGCTGCTTCCACCAGTGTGGCAGCCCGACACTTAATTGCATGCTTGGAGATCCTCCAAGATGCCCCGGACCTGTAGCCCCCAAGGCTGCAGCAGCTCCAGAAAAGCGCGCAGCGTTTCCAGGCGATGCCTGGGAATGTTCCAGGATCGACGCCGGGCAGGTCGAGATGCAAGCGAGGGAGTGATCAAGGTCAGTAGCCACAGTCATCCCTGAGGCCTAGCATGTCCCAGTGTCCCAAACATGAAGCCTAAGCAAAGGCTCCAAAGTAGTTCCTTTTGGGGTTCATGTTTAGAATCCTACAAGGTAATCCCAAAAAGGAACTACTTTGGGGCCTTTGGGTAAGCCCCTTGAGGAACCGAAAACCTCAAAAGGCCCACCCTCGAGTTGTGCACCGAGGCCAGATCACGCCGGCACAGAGTAAGCCTCCGGCCGGGCTGCCACAGGCTTGGATCTCAGAGAGTTAGGGCCTTTAGGGTCTAGGGGTTTAGGGTTTAGGGCCTTTGGGGTCTAGGGGTTTAGGGTTTAGGGCCTTTGGGGTCTAGGGGTTTAGGGTTTAGGGCCTTTGGGGTCTAGGGGTTTAGGGTTTAGGGCCTTTGGGGTCTAGGGGTTTAGGGTTTAGGGCCTTTAGGGTCTAGGGGTTTAGGGTTTAGGGCCTTTAGGGTCTAGAGGTTTAGGGTTTAGGGCCTTTAGGGTCTAGAGGTTTAGGGTTTAGGGCCTTTAGGGTCTAGGGGTTTAGGGTTTAGGGCCTTTAGGGTCTAGAGGTTTAGGGTTTAGGGCCTTTAGGGTCTAGAGGTTTAGGGTTTAGGGCCTTTAGGGTCTAGGGGTTTAGGGTTTAGGGCCTTTAGGGTCTAGAGGTTTAGGGTTTAGGGCCTTTAGGGTCTAGAGGTTTAGGGTTTAGGGCCTTTAGGGTCTAGGGGTTTAGGGTTTAGGGCCTTCCTTTGTGGGGTTACCTTATAGGGTTCTAAAAATGAGAACCCCAAAAAGGAACTACCTTGGGGCCTTAGATTATAGCCATTGCTGAGGCATCGTGTTGGGAGGGTTGGGGCTTCAGACCCCAATGGCCCCGTTACCTGCATAGCAGGTAAATGCGATGCCGTTGAAAAAGTGTGTTCATAGAATCATTATGTGCTTGTAGCAACTATAGTTAACTACGGTGGCTTTCGAGAAGTCCAAAAGGCAGCCTGCTACTCAGGGAACCCTAAACCCTAAACTCTAAAACCTACACCGCCCATGCATTTTTCTGCAACTCCCATGTCCTCAGCGACAGCCTCGACCCCAAATCCCAAATACAAGCCCTAAAGCCTGTGCATTCTCAAAGCACACAACAACAAAAAAAACAACCCCTAAACCCTAAACCCTTAAACCCTTGAACCCTTAAACCCCTAAACCCCTAAACCCTAATGCGAACCCCTAAGCCTTTAAGCCGTGAACCCTAAACCCTTAAACCCTAAGCCCTGACCCCTTAAAGCCCTAAACCCTAAACCCTTCATCCCCGAAAAATGCAGAAACTTCGGCAGTTGAACCTCAGCGGCTGCCGGGAGAACATCGAGCGCTCCGTGGCGAGCTGGATCTCAGAGGGGATCGAGGGTTCCTTTAATGGGTTCTACGAGGGATCTCACTGTGGTGCTTTCGGGTTTAGGTTTTAGGGCTGTAAGGGTTCCTTGAAGGGTTCTATAAAGAATCTGCTAGGGTTCAGGGTTTTCCGGGCTTTAGGGTGTGGTGCAGGGTTTCCGGTGTTTGGGGTCTGAGGTTTCAGGTTTAGGGTCTTGTAAGGCTCAAAGCAAGGTGGTAGATTACCTTAACACAAAAATGGGGTGTTCTAGTTGTCTTTGCTTGTGTTTTCATTACCTGGTGTTCCTTTCATTCAAACTCTTGCTGTTGAGGGCCTTTCGACAGTATTATGACTAATTTGGATTGTTCGTGGGGATGCCTTCGTCTAGGGTGTTTTCAAACTTGTGATTTATACGCTAAGAAACGGTTTATACGGTTGCATGCTGTTTTGTAGCGGTCCCTGTTTATACACTATCATTGAACCCTAAACCCTAGACCCCTATCCCCTAACCCGTAGGTTCGTTCTGTGTTGAGGCGTTACGGGTTTATCATACAAGAACCTACTCTCCGAGATTGTGTGGCTTGAGATTGTTTTGGGGATCTCTTGTGTTCTGTGCTTTCATATGGGGGTTGAGGGGTCCGTACATTCGGACGTTGAACAGGGGTTTTAGGTTTTGCAGGGTCCAGTTTGAGGTGTAGCTGCGTTTAGGAGTGGTTGTGGCCGTTTTGGGGCTTCGGTTTTCCGCCGCAGCACCGAGCAACTGGGTCACAGGGCCTGATTGTTTTTTGCCGTTGTCTTTGGCCACTTTGTCCAGCAGATGTGTGGGGAAATCATAGGGCCCTGGGCTTGCAGAGTTCGGGATGTAGTATAGGGGCTTCAACAATTGGAATAGGGTTATACGGAACCTTAAGAAATATGGGTATGAACTTCTTCAGGCGTTTACATTAGGGTCGAGAGTTGCCTCCCATATCACAGGGTGGTACGGGCTTCCCTCGGGACTTCAACCGTTCAGCGGTCACGCCGTGCATAGTCCTGTCGGGTTGCATCGGAGTTGAACTTGCAGTATGCTTCTGTAGTTGAAGTGTTGCCTGCTTGGAGATTCATGGGACCTATAGTAAGTACAACTATAAGTGCCTTAACTGGGGATATAACCAATTATAAGTTGTTATAAGTATAGTTACCTTATTTATAACCCTAGTTACTAAGTGCCATGAACCTCTAAGTGAGGTGCCGAAGATGCCTGGGAGGAGCGTCGCCGAGCCACTCGGCCCGAGGAATAGTGACAGAAATGCCATCGCGAAGCTCAGCGGCCCCGGATCGTGCTAGGAAACCTCTAGACGGCACGACTACACGAGCGACTCGAATTGCAGGCCATAAACATGGGATTGCGCGTCTAGATGTACAAACTATGTTTGTATGTATGACGGTGTATGTATGTATGTACGTACGTATGTATGTCTGTCGGTGTGAATGCATGCACGCATGCATGTTGCATACGTTCAGTATGCGAATGTATATGCATTGTCGCGCATGCCTGGAGAAGTCATCCGAACCCTAACCGCCCTAAACCCTGAACCTGCTACATCGTAAACCTTCAAACCTAAACCACAAGCCCTGAATCTCTGAACCCTGTGTTTCAGAGAATGCTCTCACATGTGCGTGCGTATTTGTGTTTGTACTTATACCCATGTTTTTACATTTTTATGCGCACACATACATTCGTAGTAATCGCTTCCCCCCAACATTAAGTCCCCCTATAAAATAAAATTAACTCGCCGCCAGGATTTCGCGATTCTGGGCCCACAATTTGAAGTTAATTGAAAACATTCGGGGGGGAGCTGCGATTGTATGAGTTTTAATAGAGCCAAAGACTACAGCAGTACTACTTAGACCGAAGAGACCAGAGCTTTAGGTTTAAGGGTTTAGGGCTCAGGGCTTTATAGAGTTTAGAGCTTTAGGGCTGTGGGGCTTTAGGGTTTAGGGCTTTAGGGCTTTTGGGTTTAGGGCGGGACTGTCTGCTCTACAGCCGGAGCGGCTGCGCGATGGGCGGTCATTGTGTCTGGCTCAGTAGCTCATTGTTACTCTCAATCCGACTCATACGTGGATCCCCCGAAACCCACCCTAATATTAACATCGAATCATCGAATCCAGGAAATCAAATTTAAAAATGAGGGGGGGGGCGGGGGCCGTTTAATATTAGGGGGAAGGGATTACTTGTTAAGCTCTTGCTGTGTTTGATTTATCTGTGGCAGTTGCAGACTGTGATGTGTCTCTCTCGCTCCCCCTTGTTTGCGTTCACAAATCTATGGACATGCACACGCATAGACAGAGACACAGGCACATATGCACATACGCACACACACACACATGCGTACATACATACATACATACATACATACATACATACACACATACATACATACATACATACATCCTTGCATGCATACGTGCATACATGCAGACATGCATACACGCGGACAGGCAGACATGCAGACATACATACATACGTACATATGTACCTGTACACATATACACATACGTGTGTTACAGTATTATGCAGAGAAGCTTATCTACCATCGCATCTGCATGAACCTGTGCAGTGGACATGTTGCGACTGGCGGCTTAGAGTTTAGAACTTCGTTCTTAGGCCAAGAAGCGCGTGGTTCCATTGCCACGACTGTGATGCTCAACGAATGCCTAGTTCGGCACCATCAGCACAACAACATCTAACGCAACAGTACAACAGGTTGAACTGAAAGGGTTTCCGCAGTGGAAGCACAATTACTGAAAACGACATTAGCACGCTGCACGACATAGACTCTAGCAGGCCAAACTACTCTGCAGCACAATCTCTACAAGACCAGCATCATCTTGCATTAAGACTTTGGAGCTTGCCCGCGGCAGACACACACTGTCCAGAATTTGGGTTTAAGATTTAGGGCTTTGGGGTTTCCGGCCTGGCCTTAAGCCTGCAGCCATAGTTCTCTGAATTATGGATCTAAACCCCTCAACCCCTAAAGCCCTAAAGCCCTAGCCCTAAACCCTAAACCCCTAAACCCTAAACCCTAAGCAAAGCATCCTGAAACCTGAGGCACTAAAACTGAAAACCCCTGCTCCTGAAGCCGTAGTTCAAAGCCGAAAGCTCCAAATCTTATACTATGCATTATACCATACTACCAAATCTTGTAGTATACTATGATTTTAGCATAATAATGTAATTAAAGTAAGCTAGTTTGTATTGTGTTGCATCATTTTGTTTATCATGTTATATTGGAGTGTATTATGATCTATCATAGCAGATCGCAGCCGATTTCGTGAAACCCCGTTATCCCCCGAGCTAGGATGGAAGCCCTACACGGTTATGTTTCAGCGAGTTTGTGGTTTGGGTTTCAGGGTTTGGGTGTAGGGGTTCGCTTTTTGACATGCTCGGGCATACTGCGTGCGTCCAAATCGCATGCTAAAAGCTAACATCGGCTGCGAAGAGCTTAAACCCTCACAACAATCTTTTTAAACCCTATGCCCTACCGGGTTTATGGGATATTCCCTTAAGCCCTCCGCAAAAACCTATCAAACCCTGGTTCGGGGTTTAGGGCTTGGGTCCCGTCAGGTGCTGCAGGAGCAAGCACAGAGCCGCGAAGCGAGGCGGACCGCCTTTGCCGACTTGCTCACCCTAGCCCAGCTACGTACCCATGTAGGGTTTAGGGGTTTGAACTTAGGGGTTTAGGGGATTACTTTTTTGTAAGTTACTGAGTTAAGGGTACTAGAAACGGTGTATATAATTACGCTTCAAGGGACAGTAACCCGGTATATACCCACACCTCCCAATATCCGTCAAGTAAGGACTAGACCTTAAATCATCTTCGTGACCCTACCATAACCTAGGGTATATATTTCTTCATGAACGGAATATTGGAAGGTCTGGGTAGAAGGTGGGTTACTGTCCCTAGAAGCCTCTGTAGACCTTATATAGTACCCAGAACCCAGTAACTTACTGCATAGGTACCTGGGCTCCAGAGGTCTAGCATAGACCGTTTTAAGTGCCTTGTCAAGACCTTACGAAATCCGTGAATAAAATCGTAGTTATCGCACAAAACTCGTAGCTATGAATACCGAAACCCTGAAATCTCCAAGTCTCAATGCCTCCAACAGCAGGCGGGCGGAATTGCCTGCGGCGGAGGATTCAGCCATCCGCAAGGCCATCACCGAGGTATTTTATAGGCGTTGGGATCCTTAGTATGAATCGAAATTTATCAATCAAGGCTAGAGTCTAGAGTCCTAGTACCGAATTACGTGAGCCGTCATACTGGCGAAGCAACCTATAAAGTAGGTTTTTCCATGTCGCATATGTAGAAATCTAGCACGTTTTGGTTGCGGTTTGGTGAAACCAAGCTCACCCTCACATCTGAGCAGGGAACTACATTGCAGGGTCTGTGGGCTCTACATAGCAACAAGCTTAAGACATTCCATTTGTCATGTCCTTCAGGAGACTGGTATTAAAGTGTAGTGGGGCTTTGCATCGTTTCTTTCTCTATCTGTGTCATGCAGCTTTCACATGTTCTTTATGTTATTGTTAGCTCGTTCTTTTCTGTCTGTCTTTTGCGATTGGCTCCTTCTCTGTTTATCCCTTTTTCTCACATCCCTGCTCTCCGGCCAAGCTGCTGGGCAACACCCGATTCCCTTCACACATGCTTCGCCGAACTTCTGACAACGCGAGACATGCTTCGGTTACGGGTTTAGGTTTTAGTGTTCAGTGCTAGACTTGCGCCACTTTCTGCCTTCCGTCTTGCGTTGTTGCAGCGGCTCTTCGAGAAACTCAGCTTGATTGTTGCCCAGCAGCCATCCCGCCCCCCCCCCCCCCGAAGCTCTAAGCTTGCCTCAGAATCACCATAAGCCGGAACCTAAAACCTACATGCGGCATTATCACTAGTCACTACCTTACAAAACAGAGTTTATGCTTGGGTTTCTGTGCGTGCATGTAGTGCTTGTCAGGATTTGTGGGACAATTTTTACATGGTGCCACCAGCAACGAACGACCTACTGTCAATTCCATATGGACAGTTCTCTAAATTAGGGGCCAACCTTACAGACGCTTCCTTGTTGCGGGTTTGTGCGTGGTGTTTATGCTGTCTAAAAGGTAAGTAGGTTCCTTCAGCCCCCCTGCTCAAACCTCTTTGTGATAGAGACAGCTTGTCTGGCAGGCCGGCTTAAGATTAGTTTTCGTTGTCGAATAGCTGAATAGCAGAGTTCATAGCAAGAGTTTCGGATGTGCCCCCGAAGTTTGGGCCAGCATGTTCAAATTGACCTTGGCCGGGGTATCCGGGTGCCTGGACCCGGGCAAGATAGCGAGGTTTGTGATCTCAACGGAGCTGTTGGGCTTTGCAGGTCGCTTATGAAGTCTTGTCTGAAACCCTGAGTCGGCCCGAACATGTAGCCGGCAGGCGGTCCACTATGCCAGTGGCCGGCCAATCCCGAACTTAAACTTCTGTTTCTATGAAGATTCGGGATGCCAAGTTGGCGCGAAGACAGGCGGGCTTTCACTACGTCACCTGCTGCCAGCTCGTGAACTTCACTGGTGTGCTTGCCACCTACCGGCGCGGAGTAAAGGTACCAAGCTTGTTGTGTGGCTTGTTTTTTTGGCCTCATCCATGGGCACGGTGCCGCTCATTCACGATGGCAGACTCTTTAGTTGCCCAAAAGAGCACGGCACCCCTACACAAATGACCCTACGAGCGACCCTAATTTAGAGAACCACCCTTATAGTACCCTTATAGAAACTCTATAGAAGCCTTTATAGGTCGTTATGGAAATCCTATAGAAACCCTATAGACCCTTACAGAAACCTTATAGAAACCCCTATAGATCCCTTTAAGGGGCCCAGCTTCAATCCCACCCTGGTCGCAGACGCCGCTGATGTCCCCGCGTCGAATGGCGGGGAGTGGGAGGTCCCGCTCCGATTCCCTGCGTTGAGGGGTTATAGGGTTTAGGGAGTTTAGGGGTTCAGGGGGTTTAGGGGTTTAGGGTTTAGGGTGTAGGGTTTAGGGGGGTTTGAGGTTTAGGGAGTTTAGGGGTTCAGGGGCTAGGGAGTTCAGCGGCCTTGCCGAAGACGTGCGGTCCGGTAGACCTTAAGACTTGGCGCCTAGGGGTCAAAATACCCAAATGTATGTGCTGTGGCCCCAACGTACCTATGTAGGGATTACTTTGAGGCCACTGTATATACCATGTGAGCACATGGACCTTCAGGGCTGCATACATGTCTTGCTGACCTGTGAAGGGGCAGAGGTTTTGACCGGTCCTTGTAACGAGGATTCTACTGTATATGTAATGTCAGGATCACCACGCATGAAGCTCCCCACATCCGAGTGTACTTCAAGACAGCTTTTTTAACATGACGGGATAGGGTCAATGACAGTGTTTCGTAGGACAACTAGTGACCAGACAACGACATTCGACTCTGAACCCAGGACAAACTCAGATCATGTATCAGAAAAACGGATGACTCTGATCTTCAGCCCGCCCGTCTTGAGGAACTGTCTGGAATGCAGCATTCCCCCAGGGGTCCATGTAGTATATACAATGGCGTTAAAGCTACGTACCTTGGGGCCAAAGTGTATACTGTTTGGGCACATGTACCCGTAGCGTTGGTTCAGAGTGTGTTCTGCGTCTGCAGGAAGCGACAATCGTCTGGTGGCTCACAGTCCCTGCGCGAGACTCTTGCCGGCATTGGGTTTAGGGTATAGGGCTTCGGGTGTATGGGTGTAGGTTTAGGGCTATACATACTCAGATTATCTCGACCCTCAAACCTCCACGTATCGTTGTGATTGCAGTGGCAATATTTGTTTGCTGTCCAAAACACCGGCGTCGACCGAATACCTTTCCTGTTAGGTCCCCAAAGCCAAAACTCCACCGGGCTTCACGATCGAGGTTGTCAGATGTTTTTTTGTGCTTTTTGGAGGGGAGGGGGATGTAGGTTTTTGACCACCGCCTTACTTATCGAGCAGTTCGCAAACACAAATGTATCAGAGGCGCTACGTCGGATGCAAACTGCCTTCAGCACCCTCTCCAGCGGACGAGTCGTTTCGATGGGAGCTGTCCAGAGATCCCAATACCGCCAATACCCCTTAATTAGGGAATATACCTTAGATCATAGTATTAAGGCCCCTATTTTTTTTAAGGTAATCCTTGGAGCATATGCTAGGACCTAGAGCAGGCCCTCATTTTTTAAGGGAGTAGGTTATCTTACGATACCCTTTAAACCAAAAACGGCACCCTTTTTATTCCGATGTTACTCCTGGGTCTAGTATGCTTCTTGGGTGGAGAACTTCATGTTTGCAACCAACGTCCCAGTGTGAGGAGATCAAGGCGATCGCGAAGAGCCATAGGTTTGGTCAGGAACCGTTGTTCGACATGCTGCGAAGTTGACCAGAACCGCTCGGTGATGGACGTCTTGACAGAGACGAGCTACTTGAACATGAGCACTGGCCAGATTAAGGAGCTGTTTCGAGGATTACAAACCATAAACTCATCTTTCCAGAAGGGTCCATGTGCCCAAATAGTATATGCTTCGAAAGGCCAACATCGACACTATTCGAGTGCATCCTAGGATGCCCAGTAGTACCCTTATTCTTTTGTTGTAGTCCTAGGTTCCTTATAAAAGTTACCCAATACCAAAAAGGGAGCCTTTTTTATTCTTAGGCTACTGGGCGTCCTAGAATCGACCCTTAGGGTTGACGCCTAACTCCAATATCTTACTTGAAGGATCATGGGACTTAGTAAGTAGGTTATCATTGGGGTTATAAGTCCCCTAAGTGGGGTTATCTTAATTATAGCCTACTTATAACCTGACTTACTACGTCCCATGAGCCTTTAAGTAAGGCTGTGTGAAGCTTGGGCCCCGAAACCCCAGGCCCTCAGCTTTTGACCTCAAGCCGCCGAAATCGAAGCCCAGACCACGAGCGCAATGGGTTTTGAGTCTAAAGGGCTGTACGGCTTGGGGTTAGGAGTTTGTCTTTGTTTGTGTTTTCACAATCAGGGTTATACTGTTCCGACAACTTCCGGGTACCCCTAAAATTGGGGGGTTTTCGGTGCCCCGTACTATACTCCGAATGGTTTCTTGGTGCTTAAACCTACTGGTTGGTCGCTCAAAAGGTTTGAGTTCAGGGTTGCCCTTCTATCTATGTAATGCAGGTGCATTTAGTGCCCACGGACTCTAATCTGCGAGACGCCTGAGCCTAAGCCCGTAGACCACAGGCCCAAAGACGTAAAACCCCAACCCCTACCTACCCCTTGTGCCCCGAATACCCTGTATACCTCTTTGTACCTCTCCTTGACCCCTTATCCCCCCTTATACTTAGTTCCCCAATACCTAACCTTTAAACTTTGCGGGTTCTTATAGTTTAGTAGGAGTCGGAAAGTTTAGCCTTTCATTTTTGTGGCTTATTGGTGTAGTAAGGATACCCTAAGGCAAGGAAGCAAGTTACGTTCCCGCCGCTTGAGGGCCCATGGGATGATCCTTCGTCAGCTCTCGCCACCCAAAGAGCAGGTGCCACTCTGAGGGCTCTTATCGGCACGCTGTTTCTTTAAGGGTCGATAAGGGGCTAGCCATACAGAAATATAGCACGCTGTTTCTTTAAGGGTCGATAAGGGTTCTAGAAGGTTTTAGGGTTTTGGGGCAGCTGTACAGAAATATATGGACAAGTAGTCTGCAACCCTTGCAAGGTTTACGTGGGCTGTTAGGGTTTAGGCTTTGGAGGCTAGGATTCAGGGGTTTTGAGGTCAAATTGAGAGAGCCAGGAGTCCACCAATTCCAGGACTTTTCGAGGGGTCTTGCCTATAGTCTCCATTGTAGTTCCTTTTTTTGGTTATCCAAAATCTCTATTGTAGGTTCCTAACCATAAAACTGGTTAACCAGAAAAAGGAACTACAATGGAGACTATAGGTGTAATCCTGAAGCCGGACCTGTTGGAATCCAAATCAGACACAAGCCTTCAAGACGGAGCTCGAAGAAACAGTAAACAAGGCACTGTCTTGCAATGCAGCGGTCTGGGGCACTGATACTCAGCAGGGCTGTTTTGTACACGGCTACAACCTTCAAGGATTTTCTTTTCCGGTTGGAGGGTTTGGTGTTCGCAGCAATCCGAAAACCCACAACGTAATATACTGGCCTGAATGATTACCAATATTACTAGGGTTTCCTATTCGCATAATATACTCCCAAACCCTATTAATCTACCCGAAACCCTGTTCTAATTGTTAAGGCCCCTATATTACTTTTTGGCTAGATGCTGTCGCGCGGTCTGCGCGACTTTACACATGCCTTGAGGGAAGGTTATCCTGAAATCCTTAACTCTAGACGCGACATGGCCGCCATCACTGTGCGCCTGCCCGCCAGAGATACACTGCTTTCGTGCTGCTGTTCGGCCCTGCTACAAGGTTTAAATAGGGGTTTTGCGCCTAACTACATACCAGTACTATTTCGGGCTTCATTATCATTAATTATTGTTGTTACTGCCATTATCGAAAATCACACCCTAAAGCCCTACAAGACGTTCCGTCGGCTTCACACCAAAGCCCTATTGCAATTATTATGGCACCATTTCTTGCACAGCTCGACTCCGCAAGTTTCAGTTGCTGTAGCCCTGGCCTTGGGTCCCTACGCCAAGGGTTTCCGATTATTCCAGCCCTGTGCCCCTAAAGCATATACATCCCTATGTAGGCACTTTGGGGCCAAAGTACATGTATACGCTGTTTGGGCACATGGACCCCCTAAAACCCTAAACCCCAAACCCTAAACCCGATGATTCTCGGATCCGTCTTGCCGGGACCCCAAACACTCTGCCTGCTAACACAGAGCGACAGCACAAATCCAGCACAAACCTTCAAGCTGAGACGCCTGAACATCAAGCACCCCAAGCTCAAATTCTAATTCTTAAGTCTCAAGCCTTACGAATCCAATCCCCGAATAGGCTTAGGGTTTCGACGTGGGCTGGAGTCTGAAACCTCGAACCCTACACCCTACATTGGGCAGGCACTTCCGGGCGAGACCGAGGACTTTGGGGAGGCCACTGACGAGCTTATTCAGTTTAAACGGGGTTCATCGGGGACTTGACAAGCGGTTTACCCTAAACCCTGAACCGTTAAGCCGGCTAAGAGTTTTTTTTTTGCGGGTGGCTTTTCGGGTTCCCCGTTTATATACGGTTTGAGGATTTCGGGTTGGGTGTGTCTGAGTTAACGACGTGGGCAGCCTGTGAACATCGGACTTTGACAAGTTGGCCATGGAATGCATCGATATTTCGGAGGGTTTCTTAAGGCTTTTCATAGGGTTTTGCATGGGATCTAAGCGGTTTTCCATGCCGTTCAGGAGAGAGCACTATCAGCCATATGGTAAGCCCTGACCATGCACAACAACTCTACAGGACCGCCATGAGGAGCTGCAAGGGCTTGTATGCTCCCTGGTGAAATCAAGCCTCATTCATCAGATCACCCTCAGATCCTGCCTACCTACTCGTTCGACTTGCTTTTACCAGCCCCCCCCCCATAGAACAGAAGGCTGAAAACATCACACATAAACTACATGAGCCGAAGAACCTCCAGACTGAGGTGTTCCGGAATCCAAATCCTTACCTGGGGATCCGAAACCCTACCGTTTTAAGGGTTCTACCCTCTAATTAAGGGGTCATGACCCGCTATTTTGTGGGGTTTGGGGTCACAGGTACATCCTGAACCCCGAAACCCAGGCGACTGCTGGAGTGGAGCCTACCTGGACCCTAAGGAAGCTACATTCTTAGGGCTTCCTTAGGATGATTTCCTTATATGGGGGGTTGTCAATATTAGGGCCCCTTGTTGGGTCCTTATTATAGTATGGCACTTAATTTTTAGGGTACCCCAAAAGGGGCCATAATTTTGACAACCACCCATCTGGGTCCTTAACAAGGTAGGTTAGATGGGGTTAAGGTAAGCCCTCAACATCGGGTCTCAGACGAGGTGCTTTCGAGAGAGTCCTCGAAGCTCAGTGACGAGGCATCGCCCAGCGAGACTAGATGTCCGGCTGGCTTCCATGCATTATGGGTTTGATGTTGAGGGTCGGCATTTAGGTTGGTTCCTCATGCACACATTATATACACATACATGCATGCATGCATGCATGCATGCATACGCACATATGTAAGTATGCCCATCTACACATACATATATGTATATGTCCATACACATACATATGTGGGCGGTGCATATATCTGTAAGTGTACAGCGTGTTCTACTGTGCTAGGTTTACAAGGGGTTGATAAGGCTTCTCAACTTGGGCTTTTCTTTTAAGTGAGTCCTTGCAGCAAGGGTCCTGCTACTGTGCAAAGGATTGCCGTCTTGGGGTGATCCCCATCGTCTGCCCAAGATGACAAGGCTTCAGGGTGCCGGTTCTATGAGATTTAAGAAGATGCCGTAGATGGCCAATTGCCAACTGTCCAAACCCAGAGATCCCAATACCCCTTAGTTAAGGAATATACCTTAACTCCTCATAGAAAGCACCCTATTCTTTAAGGTATATTCCTTAAATTGAGGGGTATTGGTTTCGCTGGGTTGCTTGTGAGTCAAGCGATGCTTGGCCGGGCGAGGGAGCAGTTGCACAGTATCCTTGACCTTGTCATTACGTAGAGGCTCCACTTATAGTACCATAATGGAAGTAGGTCCCCAAAGCCATGACATGGATGGTCTTTTGGGACCCAATTCCATAATGGTACTACAAATGGAGCCTCTGGGTTATAAGTACCCTGAATAATTCGAAAAGTATGGTTTAACGTACTCTAAGTGGCATGATCCTAGTCTGGTTGTTAGTTCAGCGATACGAAACAATCCGCATAATCGCTATGGAAGCCCCGTAAACCCCGTAGGACCGTGCAAAGCCCAAACTAGGTACCTATACCAAATAAATAACCCGAGCCTTCGAGCAGGTTCCTTTGTCACTGGATCCTTCAGCAAGTCAACTGGAGATGCTTCAGGCTGTCATACGATTCAGGGTCTAAGGTTTATGAGGCTTCGGACTTTTGAGTTCATCGGGTTTACGGTTTCGGGAGCTTCAGGAAAGATGCATATTGACCCCAGATAGTAGGTGCCATACATGAGGTGTTCAGGTTAAGATTTGGGCCGCGCCTGCTGTAGTCTTAAAGCACATCGAACCTAGCAGGTCGATCGTAGACACAATGACCCCCGCTTCAACGCCTGACGTTCAAGAGCGGAACTCTCTAGCCTTTAAACCCCTTAGTCCTAAACTCCCGAATCCTCAACGCCTAAATTTCTAAAGCCTAATAAACGCTTAATCCTAAGCTTTAAATTACGCTAAAGCCTGACTCCCTAAAAGCTTAAGCTCCCTATGATTTTCGGAACTCCACCATCTTTGTGCTTTCAGAAAGAAATCATCTGGAGGGATCGTAACTGCATCATCCGAGGGTCAGGGCGGCTAGGATTCACATGGTTTAGGCTTCCATCTGGTTTATGGCCAGTGGAGCTTGGAGTTTTTTTGGGCTTTTGACCCTGCAGGACGTAGTCTTTTTTTGTTTCCCCGGGATGATTTTTTTTTGGTGTTGGGTCCTTCTGCATTTAGTTTAGGTTTCTTCCGGGATTAAGGTTTCCACAGCATTTAGGACCTAATATAGTATATAGACTCTGAGGGCTCGGTGTTTGCAGTATGTTCGTGTCAGTAGGGTTCAGATTTCAATACAGCCCAGAATTTGTCGAACTCAGTCTTTGTGCTCTTCTATCGGGCTTGGGTCATATAATTAGGGTTTAGGTTAGTCTTGCATCGATAGAAGTGCACATGGTGTCATAGCATCATAGCATTTCGCCTTAGGGTTCCTGTACTGAGAAGCACAGTCGACAACCCCAGGTGAAAGGCCAAGGCGTCGTTGCCTTGGTGTATAGGTGTAACTCAGGGCTTCGAGGATTTAGGGGTTTAGGTTTAGGTGCTTCGGCATTATAAGCCAAGGCTTTGGTGTCTTCAATCTCCTACATTCGGATGCTTCTGACGTCTGAAGACGATGTGTTGTGTTACGCCTGCCTCTCAGCACGAAATGCTCCGAACGGAAAGCTCCAGCGGAACCCACAACCACCCTCTTGTCCTCGCTTACAACCCATTCGCTGCCGTACTTTACACAATCAGTATGTACATTTACATAATATATATATATAGATGAATGAGTATCCATATATGTATTTACTCATGTATAGCTCACTATCTCTGTCCCTCTCCATCTAACTTTCTTGCTGTCTCGGTGTACATACAGTATACATATACACAGACCCAAACAAACCTGCCAAAGAGTATAGTGTTAATGAGCCTGCCATACACGCCCCACGGAGCATGCACGCCAAAATTTCATCCTTTATACCCAGGCCCATGTTGCTGTGGTCCTGTGGTCAGGAACCGGAGCCCACAGCAGAGGAGCCGCTTGAAGCTGTAGAGGCCGCCGGTCTGTTATGATGCAGGGCCGAGCTTTGTCAGTTTGAGGTTCAAGATCTAGCGTTTCGAGGTTTTGGGCTGATTTTCAGGATTTCAGAGAAGGTGCGGGTTTGAGGGTGAAGGGTTTAGGATCAAAGGAGTAGTTCCAGGCGAAATCCAACGCGCATGACTTAGAGTGCAACGATTTGCGGTGCAAGACGTCTGCATCGGCGGAGTGTCACACCACATCTTCTACAATTGGTCGGCTGCGCGTGTGGTGGAATCGTCCTCGATCCTTGGCTCACTTACCTTTGGTTAGTAGGGAATGGAGGAATGGGGTACAATTATAACCACAACTACTACCATTCTTCCATTCCCTACCAACCAAACATAAGTTAGGTAAGTTCAAAGGAGTTTGCCGGAACGCTCTCCCCTGAAGAATTTGTGGCACAGCTGGCTGCGCAGGTGGCTGCTGGGTTCAAAAGGATGGTCTTTGTGAGGCAGCAGTGCCTGCAGGCGTACGGCCACAACTTGGTGCCTGCGAGCTCTTTCGAAAGAGCATGTCCGGCCAACTGTGCTACGATATTTGTTCCGTCGGGGAGTGAACGGAGCCCCACGCCGCCCTGAATCGGTACTGTTCTTCAGAGTGCAGGCTGAGCGTGGGGCAGGAGAGCATGCAAGCCCGTCTCTGACAGTTTGAAGACCAGAGCAGTGCCAACTGTAGGGTTGATCCACTTTTTGAAGCTTTCGCAGCACCAAGCCCAGTCCAACAGGCCGCAAGCTTTAAAGAGCAACCCTCTCGACACAGCATGTCACCGCTAAGGTGTCCAAGTAACAGAGATACCTGGTATCTACTGTTAGAATTACCGTACTGACACTTGGACCCTCTGGACTGATTAGATGGGAGTTTCCGAAAATAGGGGACCCTACACTAGCACCCTAAATAGTAGGATCCTTATATTATAAGGACCCCACAATAAGGTACCCCTACCTTTCGGAAACACCCAGATAGCTTCTTAGTGCCATGGGGCTTTGTATAAGGTCTTAGGGTTTAGGGCTTCGGGTTTATAAGGTCCTACGGTTTAGGGCTTACAATCCGGGTATGATTTAAACACCACCAATCTTCGTAGCATGGTGGTATCACTGTGCTCATGTGCTCTCGAAGTCATCGTCATCGCCCGATGCGAATCCCCCAGTAACAATCCTCCTGTTGCTACGGCGGCCAGCTTTGAACCGAACCTCGACACACGCCCTAGAAGTTCAATTGCCCGTGCAGTGGGTTACTGACTTCTCGACACCCCTCATAGCCTCAGAAAACCCGTTTGGACAGGTAGCTGGGCTGCTAGGGAACTGCCAGCAGTGTCTGAATTGAAACCCAGAGATCCCAATACCCCTCAATTAAGGAATATACCCTAAGTCATAATATTAAGGCCTCTATAACTTAGGGTATATTCTCTAATTAAGGGGTCTTGGGTTCTTTGGGAAGCTGTGGCCAGGATCCTGAGCCAACAGCTGCGGATCCACTGGCGGCTGCAGAGGCAGCGGCTTGCTTTTTTCTTAGTAGCTGAGTGAGTGCACTTTACACGTTTTGGGACAATATAACCCACTATAAAGCTGAAAGTGTGCACTTTTTTGGGACTTGTGAACTCAGCAACTAAGTTTTCTGTTCTTGGATATAGTACGTACCCACAATCCATTAACTCAATATGTAAGTGCATAGACTTCAATATTCAATATACCTTACACAAAGAGCAGTTTGAAACCTGTAGGTTTTAGGGGTTTGGGGTTTAGGGTATGGATCTCCGGCTCCTCTGCCTAAGTCTTGCTGTGGTGAAGTGTAGCTTTGGGGTTTTTGTTCGTGTTGGTGTGTGGGTGGGGGGGAGGGGCGGTGGGACCATGCAGTTGGCCATTTTTGCTCATGCAGAATATGCAGACTACAGTTCAACTGACAGTAACGGCTCAGCAGCAACGGGGAACGCCCGCAGCGAAGCTTAAATCTAGACCCCCGGCCCTAAACCCTAAACCCGGGACTCTCAACACCCACATAGTAATCTAAAACCCCGTGGATTGTCTACGGTTCTGATCTTGAAGCCAAATTTTAAGCCTTAAATCCTAAACACTATCCAAACCTTAAGGCTTAAATCCTACACCTGAAAACCCTAAACCTCGAACCCCAAACCTTAAACCCCTACCCTGAACCGTGAACCCCACACCTTACCTTAAACCCCTAAACCCTAAGCCCCTAAACCCTAAACCTTGAACCCCAACCTTAAACCCTAAACCCTAAGCCCCTAAACCCTAAACCTTGAACCCCAAACCTTAAACCCTAAACCCTAAAAAAACCTTTAAAGGAACCCTATTAAACCCTTATAGATCCCCTTTGAAGGAGCCCTATCAAACAAGCCCTTATAGATCCCCTTTAAAGGAACCCAACCCTAAACCCTTATAGATCCCCTTTAAAGGAACCCTAAACCACGAGTTTGTGAGGATCCCGAGGCTTCCGCCGAAGAGCCGCTTGAAGCTGCAGAGGCAGTGGACCTAATTCCGGTAGCAGAGTTGAGGTTCTAAGGTTTAGCCCTTAGGGTTCAGGGTAACAGTGGGTTTAGGGTGTAGGGTTTAGGGTTTAAGGTTTAGCCCTTACCTGTAGCCGAAAAGACCTACCTGTTTAGAGTTCCTCATTAAGGTTTCTGTATATAGTTCCTTAAAAAGGTAGGTCTTTTGGGCTACAGGTAGGGTTCAGGGTTCAGGGGCCGTTTAGGGTTCATGGCCGTTTAGGGTTTAAGATTAGGGTATATAGATATACTAACTTCCATTACGGAAACGGTTTAGGGCGTAGGGCTGTGTAGGATGCCAGTATCTCGGTGACTCAGGATAATCCTTTCGCTGCTTCTGAACACCACATACTTACCCTTGTTCACGGAGGGTACCCTAAGGGTCAATGTACCCACATAGTAGATTGGAATTTCCGAAGATTAGGGTACCTTATTTTCAGGTCCGTATAATAAGGATCCCACTATTTAGGGTACCTTATTTGTGTCCCCATTTTCGGAAACTAACACATGGACCCTCTTGGGGGGGGTAGGGGTGATTTAGAGGCTCTTCCAATCCGTGGCCTCTGCATGTATGGCTCCCCGGAACCTGCACTGACAAAAAAATCCTAACAACACACTTCTTTCTCCCTCTGGCCTCAAACGAGCAGCCAGAATACGAGGGTTGCGAAATGTTAACTCCACGTGCCCGGCACCATACAAAATCCGAGCTGCAAACTTGGTTGTCCTCACGTCGAAGATAATTCGGTGGTTTCGTTGTCGTCGGCTCGTTTCGGATTTTCCGGCTCAGAGTTTGTAGAATTTCAGAGTTGGGGATCCCTAAACCCGAAACCCTATAAGCCTTCACGTAAGACGTAAGCTTTAAATGTAAATCCTATAAACCCCAAACACTACAAACCCTGTTTCAGCCCTCAACCCTGTAAAACCTTTAGTAAACCCCAAAAAGTTGGAAACCGGATTAAGGACAAATCGTGCTGGGATTCCCTATACATTACTCTTAAGGATTGAGGCTATTGGGTTTCCAACTGTTGGGCTTCTACCATAAATAGCCCCACAACCCAAACTCAACGACCCTCATGCGGAAAGCGGGAGGAGATCGAGACTGCAGCTGACGAGCCACCTGTAGAGGCCTTGAATGTGGGGGCTTTTCAGGGTCGGTTGATGGGTTTAGGGCTTAGGGTCGGTTTCGGGGTTTAGTTTCGAGTTTAGGGTTTGGGGTTTAGGGTCGGGTAAGGGGTTTGGGGTTTCGGGTTCAGGGTCGGTTTGGGTTTAGGGTTTAATGAAGATATCCCCTTTAAAGGAGCCCTTACTAAGTCCCCTAAAGACCCCCCAAGTAATCAGGAGACTTATTTGAAGCGGCAGGCCTGGCCACCGCCGGCTGCGGTCGCAGAACTGCAGGCAGCTGAAGAGGCAGTGTCTGGGTTGGAGGTTTTTGGATCGAGGGCTTTAGGTTTAGAGTGTCAGCCTTTGGGCTTTTGGTGTTTTCGGGTCTTTTGTTTGTGGTCATATGGCTTCAGGGTTTTGGGGTGGAGGGTGTAGGGCTGTTTATGAAAAGAACCTGCAGTGCTCCAGGTGAGTTTGAATCTGACCTGCGGTTGATGACATAAGTCCTGCATTACCCATATTCAGGCATATACCATTTTTCCTATAGTTGGGGTCCTTAAGGCAATGCAGGTTTTTAACATTAACAGTAGGATTTGATGGGTCTGAGCCTGTTGAGTTTGGAGGAGTTCTTGGAAAGGGTGCATAGGCATGTACGCTTTAGGGCTTCGGGTTTTAGGGTTTAGGGTTTAGGTTTTGACTTACGGTGTTTATCTAATATGTGTTTGTGCTATTCATGTAGGAGACGGATGAAGAAGGCGCTTTTGCAAAGATGTGCCGCACTTTGAAAACAGTTAGAGTTAGAGGATTGCAACATATACTAACCCTCCATCCTGAACTAACGCCAACCGAACACCCCCGACGCCCAAATATAAGTGTGGTTCAGAGAGAGAGGGAGATCAGCCTCGTTTGAACAGAATCTGAAGCCTCAAACTTGTTATCACATTGCGGTTTATGCTTCTGGCTGCCGTAGATTCCGAAATCCTGATAGGGTTCTGCCCTAAACCCTAAACCGGGGATATTGATTGTTTATGTTATGAATACGGTGGAACCCTGAGGAGCTTTTGTTTCACAACTATTTTCAGGCTCCTACATGGGAGTTTCCGAAAATTAGGGATGCCTTCTTTTGGGGTCCTTATAATACGGATCCTACTATTTAGGGGACTATATTAGGGTCCCCGATTTTGAGGCTCCTACATTGGGGTCTTGCAACTAGCTTCTTGTCATACAAACGTTCCACTTGTCCTGCATGGCCTTTTGGAAATCACGGACAAGCTGTGGGACCTACCCGAAACCTGAACCCCGTCCCCTCCGCAAGGCTCCGAACTGGTTGATGTAACTTTCAAGTTCTCCACGCAGTAAGAGTCAGCGCTTCCCTTGCTTGTGCTGTGAACTTATCAGAGATACCTGGTGCAAGAGACGCAAGCAGGACCCTCCTTGTACCCTCAAATAGGGGTATATGGCCCCAAATAATGGGTACTTAGGGTCTAATTAGAGGGTAGATGGAGGGTCTAGGAACCCAGTCCAGATTTCTCGGACGTTTAGGGTTTAGCGGGGAGTCACAAGAAGAAGACGTTACGTGATTAGTTTGTTTGAGGTTTCTGGGCCTTAGGGTAATGGTTTCTGGGAACCCTAATATATCCACCCTCGGACCCTGTGTTCTGTAGGTGTCTATGTAGGTCCGCATGTTATTGACACCAGCTTGGCGGCGAAACTGCGAATCATGAACATGTTCTCGATCCCTAGACAGCCGTCAAAGATATTTTCTCATGGGGCCAGTGCGCACTTGGGCTCGGCGAAATACCTTAGGTATTCGTTTCGTGTGTCGGCTAGGATTCATGGTTGCTGCGGTCCATCTTTGCCTAAACTCTAAACCCCTATAACCCTAAACCCTAAAAATTAGCTAAACCCCTCCATGCACAGACAGAATGCCAGGCTGCCGCAGGGCCGGAGGAGCCACCGTGTGCAGAGCCGGCTGCCGTTGTGGAAAAGGCTTGGGAGGATTTGGGAGTTTCCGAAAATAGGGGACCCTAAAACATAGTACCCTAAAATAGTAGGGTCCTTATTATAGTAAGGACCCAAACAAGCTTCCCTTAATTTTCGGAAAGTCCCATCTGAATAATGACGAATAGTAAAGCTCAGAGAGGCTTCTTGGTACAGTTACTGTATACTACTCGACCTTTTGAAGCACTGAAACACTATTCGCTAGGCTTCCTATATGATAATTGCCGTATGCTATACCGCAAGGCCCTATTCAAATGTCGTGGATTTATGGATTCATGTGTGTGCCTAGGGAGCTGGGAAGCCCTGTAGGGCTCCAAGTAGCCGAAGGTGCATCCTATTTTGCCGTAGGCCCCCGAAGTATAGGAAAGACGTGCACATTTGTTCTTCATGATTTGTAAGCTCTATTTTGCCACATGGAGGCACCTGAGATGTATACTGTTAACGTTGTCAGACCCTGTCCGTACACCTTAGAGGCTTGATTGCCGATGCAGCGTTTAGTTCACATGAGCTGTGGTTCACAGGCGCCGCGCAGTGCCACGGAAGACTCTGCAGAGGAGTGCCCCAGCTGAACTGAACTTCCTTAGCTTCTTGTCCGTCCGTCCGTCCGACCATTCCTTCGAACATCCATCCACACACACGCACACACGCACACACACACACACACACACACTCCCACAATTCCAAACCATAATCATACATACGTGCATGCATACCTGCAAACATACACACAAATGGACAGAGGCAGACAAAGACACAGAGACAGGTACAGACACACAGATACACACAGAGACAGACGGAAACAAACAGAGACAGCCAGAGACGGAGACAGAAGACGGAGACAGACCGAGAGACACGGAGACAGACGGAGACAGACCGAGACGGACAGAGACAGACAGAGAGAGTCAGAGAGAGACAGAGCGAGACAGAGAGAGAGAGAGAGAGAGAGCGAGAGATCGAGAGACAGACAGACAGACAGACAGACAGACAAACAGACAGACAGACAGACAGACAGACCGACGTACGGATTTTCAGATAGACAGAGACGGAGGTACATGCTCCCTCACATACACTCGGTGTGTGTGTGTGTGTGTGTAGGTGTGATTCACGAGTCTCAGGAGTTTGTGCCTGTTGAGCCAGCCGGGTCACTGAGGTTTGAGTGCTCAGAAGCCCGTAGTGTGGACCCAGAGATCCCAATACCCCTTGATTAAGGAATATACCTCAAATCATACTATTAAGCCCCCCATTATTTAAGGTATATTCCTTCATTAAGGGGTATTGAGTTCACAGGGGTGAGTTCGCTGGGGTGACTCCCTGTACGAGAAACCAAGTAGTCCCAGGCACCTGACCTTGATGGGCGAGTCCTCTAATGCGGGCTCCTGGTCCCGGATGGTCAGCGAAGAGGCGGCGCTTTTCTTTGCTTTAGGATTTAGGGTTTAGGGAGCTCTTGTTTGCTTTGATTGGTTTGGGGGTTTTCTGTTTAGTTCAGAGCTGACGACTTTGACGAGGTTCCGGTGTCGAACTTCTAGAGCAAAGCCTGGCTTGTACTGCATTTCACAGCAGCAAGCATTGTGTTTCTTGCAGACTTCTCTTCACCAATCCCATTCTTATTGACAGCCATCCTAGATAACAGCTGCGAAGCTGTTTACATCCTGTGCAAGTCTTGGTTGTTCGGGAAACAGCAAGACCTCATCAGCTGCACACCCTTATTCCACACACTCCGCTGACCCAGAGTCGCTCACTGCCCCGAGGAAGATGTGCCGACAGACGGCACTTTGGAGACAGCAGTCAGAGCCTCGTTGCGGGCTCTCTTTCTTAATAGTAGCTGAGTGGATACACTTTACACTTTTGGGGATAATATTCTACCCAAAGTGTACACCTTTTGGGGCTTATGAACTCAGCAACTAAGCTTTCGACAGGCAACGTTGGCGGGGTCTTGGCTTCGTGGTTTCTCCCACATGTCCTGACACGACATCTGCTGCACCTTGTCTTTGTGTTGCGGAGCTTGACTTCATTTACAACGTTCCGCATAAGCCTCATTCACGGAGTGCAGTGTTTCGCTCGCGCGCGGAGAGAAAGTGTGCAGTTTGGACAGTACGACATGATGCCTCGTCATTGGCGAGTTTTTTCCACAAATTTAGCATGGCATCCCACCCCAAAAGGATGCCGCGATGGGAGCTGCTTGATCCACCAATCTCCACATTTTCAATGCGCACCAGGGAATATGAGGGGTACCGCAAGTGAAGAGGAGACTGACCAACGTAGGGTCCCTGCCGAGTAGTTGCCATGCACTCTTCCCAAAGAGTCCCAGTTCCCGAAGAGTTCCAAGTCGAACCTCCGATATTAGTGTCTCGGTCTCCCTTCAGCTCGGAAGCCTAAAGCACCTATAGTCTCCATCGTAGTTCCTTTTTTTGGTTATCCAATTTTACGGTTAGGACCCTATAATAGAGATTTTTGGATAACCAAAAAAGGCACTACAATGGAGACTATAGGCAGTCTGTCATAGAACACTTTCAATAGCCATGCAAGAACCCCAATATAGAGCGCTGTCAGTAATCCTTAGAATGACCTGTTTGGAACCCTTTTTATTTCAGTAACCCGCACTTCTGGAACCCTGTCGTAGACACTCTGAAAATACCCCTTGGGGAACCCTTTAAGTAACCCATATAGCTTGTGGAACCCCTTTTAGGTTACCCATATTCAACCTCTTACCGAACCCTCATTGAACGCTTTCGTGAGCCTTCTAGAACCCCCAAACCCCAAACTCCTAAACCCCAAATCCTATATTGTAATGAGGGTTCCTATAAAGTACCCTTAGTAGTATAGGGCCCCAAATTAGGGGATCTACCCTTGGAAAGCGTTAAAGTCCGTTAAAGGACTGTCATACTTGAAGGATCATGGGACTTAGTAAGTAGGTATAATTATAGGTCCCCTAGAACCCCCAAACCCTAAACTCCTAAACCTTAAATCCTAAACTAGAAAGCATTTAAGGACGTAGCCGAGGTTGGAGCAGCAGATTTGGATCCCCTGGTGCTGGCCTGAAGATTGGGTTCCTCTCCCAAAGGGTCCAAAGTACCTCTATAGTAGAATGTAGGGTTTCTATATTAGGAATTACTATTATGATTTGGGCAGGTATCCCCCATAACAGTACCTAGGACCCTTTGGGTTTCAAGGGTTGCTCTAAGGGTTCTATAGTAACAGTGCAGTTTTCGGGGTTTTTGGGGGTTTAGACTTTAGGAGTTTGGGGTCCCACTAGGGTGTAGGATTAGGGTTGTGTGTTCCTCAAGGGTTTTTAGGGCTTCGGGTTTCTGGCTTTAGGGTTTTGGTGCAGGTTTTTCAGGGTTCAGGCCTTGCGGTTTAGGGTTCGGTGCCTAGGCTACCAGATGCTACCGGTGTGGACCATGGTTTCTTCTGCGAGAGCGACCTTATTCAGGGTGTGGGTCCCCAGACTCTGGATACGATTACTTAGGGTTCTGTTCTGGCAGTCGACATCGTGTATTCGTGTTGTCGTTTTACAGCTAATGTCTGCTGGTGGTCGCAGTAGTAGTCGTCGTAGCAGCACTCCCACACCCCTACTCTCCGCATTCAGGCCCCATATGCTTAGCAGTTGCAATCCGATACATCCATAAGCCCTTGTCTAACCACGTCGTCGTCGTCGTCATAGTAGTAGTAGTAGTAGTAGTAGTAGTAGTAGTAGTAGTAGTAGTAGTAGTAGTAGTAGTAGTAGTAGTAGTAGTAGTAGTAGTAGTGGTAGTAGTAGTAGTAGTAGTAGTAGTAGTAGTAGTAGTAGTAGTAGTAGTAGTAGTAGTAGTAGTGGTAGTAGTGGGAGTAGGAGGAGTAGGAGGAGTAGGGGGAGTACTAGAAGTACTAGGTTTAGTAGGAGGAGTCGAAGTAGCAGGAGTAGTAGGAGTAGTTGGAGTTGTTGGAGTAGCAGGAGCAGTAGGAGTAGTAGGAGTAGTTGGAGTTGTTGGAGTAGCAGCAGCAGGAGGAGTAGTACTAGTCTTGTGGTAGTGGTCGTGGTAGTAATTTTACAGTTACATACTCCCCAAAGCTAAGTTCCACTAAAAATTGTTCACTCGCTACATGAATAGTAAACTATGGAGAACCGTGTCCAATTATTCAGCCCATCATATACTGTAAAGATGTAATCTATTCTGCCCGAAACTCGGGTTATTATGCTAATTATTATGATCATTATTGTTGGTTTATTCGTGAATAATGTTCCTCCTTCTTATCATCATCATCAAGGTGATCATCACCATTATCCCTGTTAGCATGCTGTTACTCGGGTTCACGGTGTGCAGCCTTCTCCTCTGCATCCGAAGCCGAGGAGAAAGGGTTCGTGAGGCACAGCTCCACGGAGGACGCTGCCTCACGGGTATTATACTTGGAGGGTCATTGGGTAGTTTCCAGTGGAGTTATACGTCCCAGAATAGGGGTTAGAATTATGGTTTCCTTACTTAAAAACCCCACTTATAACTACCCATGAACCTCCAAGAAGGGTTCCTTCAAGCGTTTTTCTACAAGGTTTCTCGAGTAAGAGCTTAGGCTTCGAGTTCTGGGGTTGCAAGTTTCGGTTTTAGGGCTGGTAGCTCTTGGAATGGGGCTCAGGTTTGAGGCGGGTTGAGGGTTTCAGAATGTCGGTTTTATGGTTTCGCGTTGAGGATTGAGGGTTTCGAGGTGTAGGGTTAAGGAAGGGATCCATTAAGGTTAGTATAGTCTCTATCAGCAGAACAGTACAAGTTGTGTCTGGGGGGGCGGTGTTTTTTAGGGTTCATGGGGGCAGGGTAACGTTTGAGGTCTAGGAAACCAACAAATGCATAATTTTGCAACCAGCCCTCGAATCCTATGAAGCAGCTTGCGGCTGGAATGCTTATATCAGGACAATGAGGATACAGGATACTCAACCCTAAACCCTAAACCCCTAAACCCTAAACCCTAAACCCCTAAACCCCTAAACCCCTAAACCCTAAACCCGACTCTTGCTGCACGGACCCAGGATCATTGCAGCAGGTAACCCCAAGGGTCCAAGTACCTGATAATCATATACTCTCCAAAATCCTAACCTATAGAACATGTTCTGCAGACGGAAGAGAGCCCATAAAAAAAAAAAAAAAACTACTATCCTAAAACCGAGTACCTTGGGTCCTTTGGACCCTTGGGGTAAGCCCATGTCAGATAGAAGCCTGATCCCCAAACCTTCAGCCCCTGAACTGTAGACCCAATACTTAAAGGGGGATTACCTTATAGGGTTCCCTTAAAGGGGATCTATAGGGGCTTATAGGGTTCCTTTAAAGGGGATCTATAGGGTTCTACTTAAAGGGAACTCCAGAAAGTTGGAATATGGTTTCAGGGTAGGGTACCTTAAATTTACCATAAAGGGCTTAGGATCATCATATTCCAACTTTCTGGCTTTTACCTTAAAGGGTCATGGGACTTAATAGCTAGGTTTATAGTTAAGGCAACTATACATATAAGTACTTATAACTCCAATTAAGGTACTTATAACCTTACTTACTAAGTCCCATGATCCTCCAAGTAAGCCACGGATATGCATAGGAGAACCGCAGGGTTGTCCCGAAGAGCCGTGGTAAAAGCCCCGTCTTGTGATAGCCTTGTTCACAAATCGCTGAAGGGATCCCACTAAAGGGCCCTGAAGTGCAATATAGGCTCCAAACCCAGCGACTCCAATATCCCTTAAGGAATATGCCTTACATCATATTTGGGATCCTGTTATTATATTTTAAGGTATATTCCTCAAGTAAGGGGTTTTTGGAGTCTCTGGGAATACGAGGACCCCCCCTACTTGGAGGTTCATGGGACTTAGTAAGTACAGTAAGTACAGTTATAAGTACCTCAACTGGGGATATAGCCAAGTATAAGTATAGTAACTTTATTGATAACCCTAGTTATTAAGTACCATGAACCTCTAAGTAGACCCTAAACCCTAAACCCTATAGATCCCATTAAGGAACCCTGTAGATCCCTTTAAGGAGCCCTAAGAAGGGAGCCCGAACTCTGGAGAACCTCAGCCTACCAGGACGCCGATGCTAAAGCATCTGCGGTGTTCTCAGTTGCATGCTGCCCTACCTATCCCAAAGGGTCCAAGGATCATCCTGGTAGATACTTATAGGGCATTTTGGGGGTCTAAGTATGTCCCATGATGATACATGGACCCTTTGGGTATTGGTATCCATGTTAGTTCCGATTTTTTGGTTCACCAATGCTATGGTTAGGATCCTATAATACAAATTTGGTGAACCCAAGAACAGGAACTACCATGGAGGCTATAGGTAGATGTCGTCCCTATGATAGAAAGGGTTCGTGTGGGTTTGGGTTTAGAGTTTCGGGTCTGTTCCAGGGCCCGAAAGCCTTTACGCGTGAACAGCAGGTTCCCTAAACCCCAAACCCCCGAAACCCTAAACCCCCTAAACCCTAAACCCCCTAAACCCTAAACCCTGAACCCCCTAAACCCTAAACCCTAAACTACAAGCGGTGCTCCTCAACCCTGAACGCCGACTTGATTGTTGCTTTGAGGCTTGGGTGTCCAACAAGTCCTTCCCCAAGCCGTTGGGAGGTCAGCGGCCTGCTTGAGGTTTACTGGGTTATCAATTCTGGGATTATTTCTCGCTGCCCTCATCGTTTCATAGAGAGCCCTGGTTATACGTAGTTTCTGGGGCCGTTGAAATCGACACCTGAGCTCTCACCTACTTTAGGAATTAGGGTTTACGGTTTGGCTTTGATTTGGCGATTTTCTCCGATGAATAGATAACAACTTAGGGCTCCTGCAGTGCTTTCGGGGCTTTGGATCGAGGGTTGATGGAGGGATCATAGATAGGTAGGGTTTAGGGTTTAGGGTTTAGGGAGGAATCAAGCGAAATCCTGACGTTTCATTAGCAGCACTATTCCTTCGGGCGCGTTACCATAAGTATATTGTTACTCGAGAATACCCAAGGCCCTGTTCTAATTACAGAGGTTACCCAATGGATTGTAGCGCCTATACAATTTTGAAAAGCTTCAGGGAGTTGCGGTTTAACTGCAAGTTAAACGCCCAAAGAGAACCCGACCCTTCAGGATTTAGGTTTTAGGGTTTTGCAGTCGTAGATTGAGACAATGGCTCAGAGATTAGGTCTCGAGTCGAGCTGCTGAGTACCAGGGGTGTACAGAGCATGCTTTCCGGTATTTGGTCCCAAAAAACCATCCCTATTATGGTTTTGGGGACTTAATTCCATAATGGTAGTATACATGGACCCTTTGGGCTTGTTGTTTTTGACAATCTGGGGTCCCCACAACAAGACCCCAGCTCGGTGATTAGCGAGTTGGGCATATTTCAGCGAGTCAGACTGTTCAGTATATTGAGATTCATTTTCGGCCTGCAGACGGGTTTCGGGCACGCGTTGTTGATGTGTCTGCTTGACTGTTGCGTTTTCTTCGCACGTGTAGCCCAGTTCGATATGATGAGAAGTCTGCTTCTCAACACCCCCGAAAGCCCAACAGCAATGTCAAAAGCCGCTCGACAAACTCAGACGGAACTTGTCACTCCTCGCACCCTAAACCCCAAACCCTACCCATAGGCCCCATTGCATGTCCTTGTTGGGATTACCTTAGGGGGTTCTAATTTGAACCCCAAATAGGAGCTACTTTGGGGCCTTAGGGTACTTGTCACTCCTTGCAGGAGAAGCCGGCGAGGAGTGCACGCTGCAGCAGAAGTCTTCCAAAGAGCTTTTGGACCCTTGCGAAGGCGCTTTCGGGTATCTTGGTTTGGGGTTCGGGCTCGTGGTTTAGGGTTTATAATAGGGTTCCTTTAAGGCTTAGTACACTTTACACTTGTTGGCATAATACTACCCACCATAAAAGTGAAAGGGTACACTTTTGGGGCTTGTGAACTCTGCAACTAAGAAGGGTTCTATAACACGGGTCCTTTAAGGGTTTAGCTTGGGGTTTGGGCTTGCGAAACTGCCTTAGCTGCTACAGAATCATGCAGTGAAAGGCTGAGAGTGCGGGGTTTGCAGTTGTGCATTTGAGGGCCTTTGTGCATCAATGCAGCTCGGCTCAGGAGTACAAATTGGAATTATACCTGGCCGAGAAAGAGAGTGGAACCTACAACCCCCAACTCGCAGATCCTAAAACTCTAGGTTTCTTGCGACGTACAGCACAGGTCCTCTTATACTACCACTCGGACACATAGGACGAACTGCTTGTGGTACTGCTTTATTTTGATTGTCGCACCTGCTCGTACACAGGAGTCACAGGAGCAGAGCGAACAGGAACAAGCGCCACCTTGCAGATGCCGCAAATAGTATACCTAGGGACAGCCATCGCAAGAAAGAGGTTTAAGGTGATGGTCGGGTTACTCTCGGACCTGCTCCAGACTTTGGTCTTGCGTCCTCCTACCTGCACATGAACACATTGGGCTTCGATGGCATGTCATGACCACGCTGTCTTGCAGTATTGCCATCGCGAGGTATTGTGTGCTCGACTGGTTCCCAAGTAGCTCAGATGTTTTCGACACTGTTACCATTGAAGAAGCCCCTCTTCCAGAGACGGAGCCGCACGGAAACATCGGTCAGGTTCCGCTGAGCCTGGAACCATCGCATTTGTGGGGCGCTCGACTTTTCTTCATAGGGTTTCGTCATTTGAAAACCTCAATAGTGCCAAGCCGCAGTAGCGGAGATGATCACAATATACCCAGAGACTCCAATACCCCTTAATTAAGGAATATTCCTTAAATCATATTAGGGACCCTATTATGATTTAAGATATATTCCTTAATTAAGGGATGTTGGAGTCTCTGGGTAGGTCCAGGATGCAGGCCACATGCGTGGGCTTAGAGCTTTGGTGTCGGTGTCACGCGTCAATTCTCCGGCCTGGTTGTGTTCGTTACAGCGACGTACTGTTGATGCACAAAATCCTGCATGACCCTAAGGACTCTCAACTATGCAACTATGGTATATTCCTTATAATAGGTAATGCATGATTTTGTCCATGAGCAGTTGGTTTATCCTCCAGATTCCAGGGCTTCCCGAAGCCGACACTGCAGTTCCCATGCCCAACCAGCCGAATGCAACGGCCAGAACCCCAATTAATTGCAGACGGGGAGCCGAGGTGATTCCCGAGCCAGCAGGGGGCCCGGATTTGTTTTGAGCTGTTGAAGTTTCAGAGGGTCCCCTAAGGCTCTGCAGCGTTAAACAGGTAGTGCAGCATTGTGCTTAAGCATGTCGCATGGAGCTTCTCCGTCTTCAACTTTTCTGACGACATGCGGGGAATGATTCCGAGACCCTAAACCCTCAACCCCAACCACTACGAGTCCTGATATGTTTTGTGTCTTGCCTGGACCCCAAGTATGTAGAATAATGGCCATTAGTTTACAGTGTGTTTTGGTGGGGCTTAGGTCATTAAATTAAATCTTACAGTCTTGAAACGAAAGCGTCTGAAGTTGGAAGGCTTTGCGGTCATGGAGGCCAGGGATTGGAGAGGGCACCCACGACGAGTCTGAGAGTTTAACTAGCGAGTCTGTCAAAACAGTAACATGGCTTCTGGAACGCAGACCTTGGGTATAAGTTTGGCGATCATGCTTGTCCCGGTCGCGCAGCCTGTCGGCAGTGCAATGCCTCTAGGATCATCTTATCAGCAGTGTCACGAATATGAATCCTCAAACCTCAACCATAAGCCCAAATATTGAAGCATGCATTGCCTGAACCCTCAGACTCGAAATTCCAAAGCATCAAACGCTAAACCCTACAGCATTGCTCAACCCTGAATCATACCGTCGAGCGCCGGTCAGATGCCGGAAGAGCCTGTGGAGGACAGTGAGTTGACGCGGGCTGGGCCCCCGGAGCCTATGAGTTTATGCTTACCTGGGTTTGGGATTGGAGGGCATAGCACAAGTGTCATAGATTGCAGGGTGTTTTGGGTGCAAATGTTTAGAGCTTTACGGGTTATGTATTTTCCTAGCGTGCAGCGTCACCTGATCGAAATGACACGTGGTTACATTCTTGCTTAAGTTCTGCGCGGCCAAGCGCTGATGAGGTTTGCTTCCGGTTTAAGGTGTTTTGGTTCATGGCTAAGACCGAATACCTGCCGAATCGCAGCTATCATGCTGGCTTGCTCGTAGTATTTCCGCGTGAGGGAAAGACGTACCAGAGACGCCAGAACAGCTTGTAGTCACAGGCCCCTATCGAGTCAGTCCCCAACTCTATAAGGCCGGGCCTAAATAATCATGTTTTGGGGGGGGAGTCTCCTTATGCTAGTCATAATATACTTTAATACAGCCCGAAACCCCCTTAGAGTGCTTAGTTACATGCGGCTCTCCGGCACAGTGCCAAACTTCGGCCGTGGAGTCTTGAGGGAACAACTGAGGATAACGATCGGAGCCCGTCCTAAGCCTTTCGACGGTATGCTCAAATTGATGGTATTCGGTTGTCTTATCTTTGAGAAGTGTCTTGTGCTGCCCGAACCTCCCAAAGCTCGAATCGAAGCTCCAGCGCCCGACACAGCTATCCACAGAAGCCCAGTTACTTGTCTACCGAGGTTCTGCAATGCATAATGCTACGACGCTACTATTCCACGCCCGTATTTAGTCTATGCTTCTGCAATGTGTATACTTCGACCTTCACGGGGGTACCGTGTAATAAAGTTTAGTGCATAACAGAAACTTACCATCCGGGTAGTCTGAACCGGGCTGCTAGTTTATCTCCTTTGCATGGCTTTTCGTGGCCGAGGCGCTTTCGAAGCGACGACAGCAGGCGCCCTTCGTGAGGGTTAAGACTGGTAGCCTAAAGCCAGGAAGCCCAAAACCCTAGATCCTGGAGCCTAAATCCTGAACCCTAAATTCTGAATCGTGTCTCCTGAACCCTAAATCCAAAAGCCTGAACCCTTGACATCTACACTCTCGGTCTGGTCTTGTCGAGGGTTTATGCAAGCAATCATGTTACGCTGTCCGCTCCTATCCTCTACGGCGAAACGGCGAAACATATGGCTAGTTCTTCTCTAAACTCTAAATTAGGGTCCCGTTTGGGGTCTTTTTGAAAGGCTGCAGTATTACTCTGGGGACCTCAAATGCCAAAAGGGATCCTAATTTTGACAACTACCCGTGTAGTGTTTGCTGTGCTGTATTTTTGTGTGTTTGCCGAGCATGTTTCCAAAAGGCCGTGTTTGAAGCCAGGCGGCTCGTATTGGAAAGATTCTTTGCAGGATGTGAACTTGAGGCTGGGCTTTAGATAGAGCAGTAGAATCCTCATCCCCCCACTTAGAATTCGAGGCCTCCTCAACGCTGACCCAAAGCCCTAGCTACATGTGGCGAGAGCATACCCAGACTTAGGATTTCTTGCATGTCTTTCGTGTAAGAAGTGTAAAGTGAGGTATTCGTCTGAGCATGCAAGGAAGGGCCCCCTCTTGTAAAGAGCTTCTGAACTTATGGTTCCTGTTGATAGTCGACCGCCATATTCAAGCCCTGCAGTTTCTGCATTGAGTGTGCTTCCCCTGTTTGAGAAAGTGTTATTCTTCAAGGGGTTTTGGGCTGGGATTTCTGACACCTCCTCGGCACACCCCTTCAGTTTTGCATCCGGTTTGTTGGGATGTCCGAACATAGAGCCTAAGCCCTAAGGCCTTGAATCCTAAAACACTACGACCTAAGCCCTAAACACTGAATCCCAAAAACCTGGGACCTATATCCTAAACCCTCAGACCTAAGACCTACATCCTACACCTAAACCGAGCCTCGCCTTGCGGCAGGTGGAGAATTCTCACTGCGAGTTCACCAAGGAAGGCCTGGAACAATTCGGATGACCTTTGGGGGTTTAAGCGTAGGATTCCTTCAAGGGTTCTGTAAGGGTTTAGGGTCTCAAGGGTTTTAGGAGTGGGGGGGGGTTAAGGGTTTGAGGGTCTGAGGGTGCCGAGGTTTATGGGTGCAAGGGGTTTAAAGTTTTTAGTGTTGTTAGGATTTGGGGTTCAGGGTGTAAGGTTTGAGGGTTAGGGCCTATCTTAAGGATTTTTGCGTTCAAAAATCCGATTCACAGAGTCCACAAAAGGGGTTCCTACTAGTTGCAAGGACGACGGGGGGGGGGGGGGGGCTTCGTGAGTGTTGCATAATATATATATATATATATATATATATATACAAAGAATATATATATATATATATATATACATACACACACACGTACGCACATACATGCATACACACACACATAGATACATATGGATATATACATGAATAAACATATATGTATGAACTGGGCTCATCTTGCTTATGACTGCAATATTGCAACCTACTGACTGAGTCCCATGATTCGTCAATCAAGGTCCCAACCCCTTGACATCTGAATATTTAGTTCTACTCTTCCGCGGGTTCCTTGGTATGGCCATCGTACGAGAATACACCCGAAAAGCCTCAAGCCAGTTATTCAGGCCCCCGCGGTGAGCGAAAAGTCCTTCGACAGGGCGGTGGGTTAACTACCTTGTTCTGCTGTGCCTGAACTGTACTGTAGGGCCTCTGGATGTCTATTGCTTAGGGTTTGGGCTCCTTTTTAACTAAAAGCATTAGCTGTGTTTAGGGTTTAGGGGTTAGGGCCCCTAAACCTAGAGTCTCCATTGTAGTTCCCTGTTTGGTTAACCCATTGTAGGGTTAGGATCCTATAATATAAATGATGGTTAGCCCAAAAAGAGAACTACGACGAGACTATAGGTAAACCCTAAACTAAACCCTAAACCCTAAGCCCTAAAGGGAACTCCAGAAAGTTGGAATATGGTTTCAGGGTAGGATACCCTATAATATACCATAAAGGGTTTAGGATAATCATATTCCAACTTGCTGGCTTTTGCTTTATACCGTTGAGCCCTCGAGCTCGGACCTGATGCCCTCCGTGTCGCGAGTCGTGAATCTCCAGGTGTGCCCGTAGCCCGTAAGCCCCGATTTGGGGAACGCCACGCCCTCCAGAATGGAACACCAAATCCCAAGATCCTCAAATTAGGAAGGGCTCAATTTTGGTTTAGGGTTTTGGGATTGATTAATAATGAACAAGGTTCTGGGGTAGTATAGTATACCACAAGCACAAAACGGAAGCCCAAAATAGTTTTGGTGCATGCTTAGGCCCTTATACCAACCCCGTGACAAGGGCAGCCGTTCAGCGGTTCAGGAGTTGGGTCAGGGCTTCAGAATCAAGGGTTGTAGTGGGATGCAGAGGCCTCAACAGCCGTGCGGACATGTCCTGGAAACAGTCCGCGAAGGCCGTGCAGGTTTTACTGGCTGCAGCGGGAATCCGGTAGTTAAGCCTTGTACCCTAAACCATAAGCCCCCAACACTACAGGTAAGCTTCGAAGCGTTGCGGTCGATTTGCGAAGCTGAAGCATTCAAAGATTTGGGAGTTTGTGCTGGCCTCGGGGGGCGGCTTTCCCGGGCTTCAGGTTTAGCTTAGGGTTTGGGGTTTCGGGGTTTGGAGTTCAGGGTAACGGTTAGGGTTTAGTACCTTTGGGGAAGGACGTGCCTTGAGACATGGTGTTCTGCCACGGGGGTTCGGGTTGGGTGTTCCTTCGTAAAACAAATACCAAAGACGGGCATGCATACATAGCAATCCACCTGGGTAGTTGTCAAAATTATGGTCCCTATTTGAGTACCCTAAATATTATGTGCCGTATTATATTAAGGACCCAAAAAGGGACCCCAATATTGACAGCCACCCACCTAAACCCCAAACCCGAGCCCTCAACCACACACCCTTCCAGCTTCCACAAGCCCAAGAGCCACTTTTGGAGCTGTGGCAGTGTCGCCGTCCTGTCTGAGCTCTTGTTGTTAAGTCCGGGTTTGCAGCTGTGTAGCATAGCGGCCTAAATAATTGCCAGTACTATTTTAAGGCAGGGGTTCCTGATTAATAGTTTCAGTTTAATGGGCCCCGAAACCCTATTCTAATCAGTAAGGCCCCCAAGATAGAACCCTACTATAGATCCCTTATAAAGGATCCCTTTAAAGGGATCCTTTAAAGGGAACCCTATTCTACTTATTAAGGTCCTATTCATTATATGCATATATATATATATATATGCTATACATATATATATATATATATATATATGTATATGTGTGTGTGTATATATATATATATATATACATATTATATATATATATATACATAGAGGGTCCCTCCGTTGCGATTTTCAGGTTTGGGGGTTTGGCGTCGCTGGGTCCTTGGCAGGCCTCCACAGGTTCGATAGGCGTCTTCACCAAAGAAGGTGGCGACCTCAGATGCCCTAAGCATACGCATACATATATATATATATATATGCATAGATACAGACACATACATACGTACATACAGCATGCATGCCTGTCTGTCTGTATGCATGTATGTATGTATGTATGTACGTACGTGTGCATGTGAGTATGTGAGTATGCATGTATTGTATTGTATTGTATTGTATGTATGTATGTATGTATGTATGTATGTATGTATACATGCATGCAAGCTTCCGTGGTTGCGCACATCCCTAACTCCAGCCAAAAGCGGGCTTACGGCGAACTGTCGCAGAAAAGTCGCCCCGACTTCAGCCTGTACCCATAGGCTCCATAGTAGTTTGATTTTGGGGTTGCCTTACTTGGAGGTTCATGCGTAGTTATGAGTAGAGTTATAAGAAGGGCAACTGTACTTATGACCCATAATAGGGGACTTACAATCCTACGTATAACTACCCATTCATGAACCTCCAAGTATAGGACTCTAAGTATGAGTCCCAATAAGGAACTACTATAGAGCCTATGGGTACACATCGTTTTTTGCAAGGCCCATTACACAGCTCATGAGATTCCGACCTGCTTCAGCCAGACTTTGTGTAGCCGCAGCGTGAAGGGTTTAGGGAGTTCTTGCATTGCGGCATTGCTTTATCCCATCGAGTTGATCCAGGAGTGGGTGGGACAAGTTGGATATCGGTTGTGTATCTTTGTTGAATCCCCCGTGTTCAAAAGCAGGGTTCATGTTGAGGTGCGCCTCTTACCACGCACAACAAGGACCCCTGCCCGCAGCTTTAAAAAGAGACGCATTCATAGCAAAGCTTATCCCATCAAACCGAATGCAAGTCCCCATAATTAAGTGCTCGAATGCTGTACTACGCTGTGCTCAGAAAGAGCTTCCTTAAACCCTAAACCCCCGAACCATGACTCCTCTTCTGTCAGTCGCGTCTCAAGGTATCCACAGTCCAGCCGACATCCCACGCTCGTCGCCGCGCTACAGCGCTAGCAAGTTCAGGAGACCCAGAGAACCCAATACCCCTTAAATAAGGAATAGACCTTCAATTATAGAGGCCTTAATATTATCATTTAAGGTATGTTCCTTAATTAAGGGGTATGGTATTGGGTTCTCAGGAGACATCGGAATTCAGGGACGCAGAGATCAGGTGAGGTTCGCGAAGCTTGACATTCTAGCCAGTTTGGGGGCTTGTGGGTCTGGTTAAAGGCTCATGGGACTTAGTAAATAATAAGGTTATAAGTAGGTTATAGTTAGGCTACCCCCACTTAGGGGACTTATAACCCCAGTTATAACCTACTTACTAAGTCCCATGATCCTTCAAGTGGTTCTACATGTTCAGAGCTGAGGTCTATTGCGACGAGTCTCAGGTAGTTTTCATGAAATTCCACTGAATTTGGCGTTGCGAGTTTCGGGATCCCAGTTTAGGGACCAGTCTGGTCACGAAACTTGAGCCCCCTGAGGCCACGAACAACCGTACCCGGTCCAAATACCCGAATAGTAGGGTTTCAGGTCCTAAAATCCATACTCTGAATGGTTTTTGGACCTCGAAACCCTACTATTTGAGTACCTGGACCCTCTGGGGTAATCAACCCCAAACAGTAGACGCCGTACACAGCCGACCCGAAAGCCTAACGCCTAAAGCACACCATCAGGGCCAATGCAAGCCGAGGATATTTTTTGCTTTGGGGCTTAAGGTTCGGATCGGGGGTGCAGTCAGGGTTGTTTTCTTATAATTATGAGAAGTGTGAAACCACACATTTCAAAACCTTTACCCTAGGGCTCAAAATATCCCAACAGCCTTATATAGTATGGTCTTTGGGCCCAAAAGCCTTAAAATATGAGTCCTTAGAGCCTATAGGGGTTATGATACCCTCGTCAAGCGTTCCAACACCCTTTATAGAAGCCAGAGAGGTCCCCAGTCAATGTACAACGGTTGATGATAGAAATCCTGCATTACCCATAATAAGGAATATACCAAGGGGTTCCTTTAAGGGATCTATAGGGTTAGGGTTTAGGGAGATAAATCCTGCATTAGCTGCCCCATAGTAAGGAATACCATAATTCCCATAGTTTAGGGCCCTTATTGTAATGCAGGATTTATATCATCAACAGAAGTTCAGGCAGAATGGGTGTTGGTGCTGTATGTGCTATAGGGCTTCAGGTTCACGGGTTGCAAGTTTTGCAAGTGTTGTTCGCTTAAGGGGATGTTGAACGGATGTTGCAGGACGTCTTCAAAGTGAGAGCCGACGTTTCACGGGCCAGCTGAATCACACCAGCGAAGTGTCCCGAGAAATTACTCTTAGTTTGGGCTGAGGGTTGATGAGGGTTTAGAGCTCTGGTTTGAACGTTGTTCCCCCTGACTGACCATGCACCATCGTATATAAATTCTCCAAAGCAGCATGCCCCTGAATGATGTCGTCCCTCCAGTCCCCAAACAACTAAAACCGTGAAGCACTGAAGGACAGGGTCATAGTGTTTCTAGCTCTGTACGGACTGCGGGCACACTTTGATAATGTCCCAGACCTCTACGTGGCAACCTGGACCCTTCCCCCATGGCTTCGATGGTGTTCTTGTTCACGGTTGAGGGGAGTGGTCGTGTCAAGATTGTTTTGGCTGGGTTGGCTTGCAAGCTTTATCGTTGGAGTATGGGCCAGTATGGTGTTTGGGGTTGTGTTGTCTTCGTGTCAGGCTGTAGTCATAGTGCTTGTTGTAGAGTCGAGTACTACCCATAGGCCCCAAATAGTTCCTTTGGGATTACGACCTTATGGGATTCTGAATATGAACCCCAAAAAGGAAACAACTGTGGGGCCTTAGTGTAGACCCCGAACCTTGACACGCCGAAACCCCTAAAACCTGCACTGGATCGGATCAAAACCAGTTCCGAGAATTCACAACCAAAAGGCAGGAGTGATTTCCAGACGCTGGCAATTTTAAGCTTCCGGTCTGTCTGCCCAACTCGCAGACCCTTCTTGTGTGCCGCTTGGTCTGCACGCAGATAAGGTGCCGATGTTCGGGCATTCGGAAGGCACAGCGGCTTAGGGTTATGGCTTGAATTCATGAGTCCAAGTCAGAACTCGCCGATGGCCAAACAAGTTGACCTGTGGCATGGAGTTGCCTGCGCAAGCTTGTAGTTGTAGATGTGTCACCGCTCACCGGTGCTCACATACAAACACACGGCCTAGACATGCCACTCACACCCGTGCGAGAAACTTCTTTCAGACGGAGCATCGAACACTGCCACCGCCTCGTAACCCTAAACCCAAACCCTAAACCGTACCCCAGCATGCAGCTTCGAGCTACCGTCGATACCAGGCCCCTCTGCTTTGATCGATTGATGGCGGAACTACCCCATACGTCTTTCAACCAGCATTCCACGTGGGAAGCCAAGCTTCATGTGCAAAAGTCCAGCCTCCTCGCCCCTGGCCTCTCAAGATAAACCCTAAATCCCAAAAACCCTAAAACCCTGCAGCCCTAAACCCTAACACCATAGAACCCTAAGGCCCGAAACCCTAAAACCCTAAAACCCTGAAGCCCTAAAGCCCTAAAACCCCAAAGCCCTAAAAACCTTAAAACCCTAAACCCCTAAACCCCTAAACCCTTATACATCCCCTTTAAAGGAACCCTATTAAACCCCTATAGATCCCCTTTAAAGGAGCCCTAAACCCCCCTAAACCCCCAAGATGGCTCGATCAGCCGAGGCTTGCCATCATCCGGGCGACTCTCGTTTCAGTTCCGATCCAGAGACTCCATTATCCCATAAATTAAGGAATACCTGGGGATCCGAAACCCTACCGTTTTAAGGGTTCTACCCTCTAATTAAGGGGTCATGACCTGCTATTTTGTGGGGTTTGGGGTCACAGGTATACCTTAGAATTATAGTAGGGGCCCCCTATATGATTTGAATATACATGAAATTATATTAGGGGGTGCCCTATATGATCTGAATATATATATATATATATATATATATACACACCTTAAATTATAGTAAGGGTCCCCTATATGATTTGAGTATACCTTAAATTACAGTAAGGGCCCCTTATATGATTTGAATATACCTGAAATTATTGTAGGGGCCCTTAATGGTGATTTAAGGTATATTCCTTAATTAAGGGGATATTGGAGTCTCTGGGGAAGGGGATCGGTGCCTCGGAATTCAGGTCCCTCCCCCTGCAGGGGTGTCTAAGGCTAAGCAGAGCCGACTCTACAAGAATTAGGGTTTCCTAGACCCCCAAAAGTAGTTAAAATAATGGCCCAAAACCTATAAAAGGCTCTTATTCTACATACTTTTGGGGTCCAGGTTGTTAGGGTTTAGGGTAGCCGACTCTACAAGAGTTTCGCGCCGAGTCGTTCAAAGAGGGGTCGCCTTAGGGTACAAGTTCGAAGATCGGGGGTTCAGGGTTTAGGCGTATACACACGGTTGTTTTGGCACCAACAGCGTTTGTTCATACTTGTTTAGGGTTCGGGGTACTCGGTTAAGGCCTATAATTTAGTTGTAAGCCCTAACTCCCTCCCAGCCCTGTACCCTAAACCCTGCACCCAATTCATGGGGGAGCCGGTTTGTCTTTGGAGCTACCTGTTCATGTTTGCTCTGGATATCTGTCCCCTAATAGAGAGCAGATCCTTCTGGCAGTCTCAAGCGGTTGAGGGTTTGGGGGGTTTAGGGTTTAATACTCTTTAGGACTTAGGGCCAACCTTTTTTATCGAGTTGGGTGTAACTTTTACCTAGACCTCAAAAAGTAGGCAAAATAATGGCCCAAAACCTACAACAGGCTATTATTCTACACACTTTTGGGGTCCAGGTAGGGTCCTGGTCCAAAGCTGTCCCTCTCATTCATATTCATAACAACCATAACAATAACTGTAATGATCATAATAACCATAACAATAACCATAATCATCAAAATAACCATAATAACAACTGTAACCAAAACTGTGCAGTTTGCAAGCACATCAACACTAGCATGGTCTTGACAGAGGTTGGACACCCCTGGCCAGGGCTTTGAGATTGGTTGGTTCATCGAAAGTTGCAGTGGCTTTCAGCAAAGCTGAAGCCGTTTGCACCTCTCGCCCATTGCATTTGCACAGCCAGCAAGACTTGAGTTTGAACCGGTACGGCATGGTAGTAAGACTGCGCACCCTGTCATCTTCCACGACGTCTTCACCCTAAGCCCTAAACCCTAAACAGAACACCTAAACCCTAAACCGACAGAAGTGTGGAGTCCAGCCTTCTTGAAACTTTGCCGGTTGAAACGTGGCATGCACCGGTTTTCAGTCGCATGGTGTTTGATTTTCGCTCACGTGCCAGCAGATGTGTATAGACTGCATCAGTCTTCATCTTGAAAATGCAACATGTTGTCAAGATCCCTAAACCCTAAACCCTAAATCCAGCCAGCTTCACCCCTGGATTACTTGTTTCAACGAGTCGTCTGACCTTTGCACCACTAGTAATTTGGCACCCTGCAGAGCGTCAGTGCAAACCCTCAGCCCCTAAATTTTCCCATGGATCCAAAAGTCTACACCTCAGATCCCTCCGCTGTCGTAGTACCTCAAGCCCACCTGAACCCTCATAAAGCCTAAACCCAAGCTACGCTGGCGTCACCATCGAGCACATGCCGTATCGCTCTCTGGTACCTCGGAAGTGCCGGAGCTCTGGCAATTAGGGAATGCGTTGCATGGCCTATAGGACTCGGAGACTTAGCATGGTTTCGACGAGACGTCCATGGGGGTCTGTCTTAGGAGAAACGGATATAGCTAGGAGGGTTAAGATAGCTTCACTTACAGCTGCTTGCAGCCCCTTTCAAGTGTACTTATAAAGTGTCCCGGTGTCAGGGTTTGCAGCGCAGGTCAAAATTGCAAAGATGACACAGTCTTTTGGCAGCCTGCAGGGTTCTGCGAGGGCTTTCTTAGGAGTTCCATCAGGATTCCATACGGGTCCTTGTAACGGTTGCGGGTTTGGGGCTTGGGGCTCCAAATAGGAACTAGGTTGTATATAATATACTTGGATGTCCGGGTGCAAGTAGCTAGGTAGTGAGCGGTGAGCGGAGGACTTGCTTCAGAACGATGGAAACAATAGGTTAGCATGAGGGTTTGTCAAGCTGGTTCGGCAGCTAGGCCCGGGCTGCATGATTTAGCAGGATCTTCAAGTAGGGTCGAGGGCTTCTGATTGAGGGATTTTCTTATAGTGCACCGATACACGCAACGACTTTGACGTGCGCTTTGGGAGATGCAAACACCAACGCGCATACCCCAACTGAAACATCAATCGCCACGGCATGGTGTGGAAGTCTTGGGGCTTCGATACCTGTCATGTCACTCGAAGCTGCGTGCTGCATAATGCCCTTGTAAGAAGTAAGGTCCACAACAAGGGTTTTCGTTGCTGATTGTCAAGACTGCGTTTGTTTTGGCGTGCACGTCTAGCAACCGAAAGAACCACGCCTGGAGAGCGCGATACATTAAGGCGTAGCCGAAAAGAATCCAGTCTAGGGGTTCCTTTATAAGGTTGTAGCAGGCAGGGCTTGTTATGGGGGTTATCATAAGCCCAGAAGGTCCAAGCACTCAAATAGTAGGGTTTCGAGGTCCAAAAACCATGCAGAGTATGGATTTTAGGACCTGAAACCCTACTATTCGGGTACTTGGACCCTCTGGGAAGGTCACTGTAAGGGTTTCTGCAGGTTCTTCTTGGGAACCCCGATGAGAACTGGACTATTCACCGAAGCAGTGTTTACTGCTTGGAGGTTCATGGGTAGTCATAAGTAGGGTTATAAGTCCCCTAATATGGGTTATAAGTACAGTTACCCTATATACTTATAACTCTACTTATAACTATCCATGAACCTCCAAGTGGAGGTCAAGACAAGCTTGGAGTTGTTTCAACGTGTACGCCCTGTCCCTGAATGTCTTAGCCTACCTGTAGTCTCCATTGTAGTTCCTTTTTTGGCTTAACCAGCTACATAGCAAGGATCCCATAAGGTAACACCAAAAAAAGAATTACAATGGAGACTATCGAAAGTTCACAGGTCATCAAAAAGCACTCCAAACCCTGGGCCCAGCTAAACCCTGTTAGCAGTAGTGCAACAGGCCGCAGCAATCTGCAATCCCAGCACGCGACCTTTTTTGGCGCACTGAGCGTTCTCTCTTGGACGGGGAGGAACCATCCCAGTAATGCAGCCGATATTCGCGATTCCAGGAACACGCTGTAGCATGTCACGATGTAGAATGTAGAATAAGCTACAGGGCC